TACTTAACCCATCAATTCTCTGAATTTTCTAAAACAAATATACGCAAGAAACGGTCTGTGTTAAATTGTTGTTGCCAGAGTTAGATAATATCATGGAGAAAATTGTACTCAATATACTGATTAACTGCTAAAACTATAGATACGGGATTTCTTCGCACATATCTTAAGACTATCTTAGAATGTAGAAATATGGTTTTCAATCGTTAACGTAACTGAAATGTTTTATGCATTTGTCTATCAATATCTAATACATTTGGTCATGGCTTCCATAAGCTGTGTATTTCCTTTTGAATGGAACACTAAATAATATAACTATCATGTTTCCCAGGCATGCTTGCACGTTTCTAGGTCATGTGTTGAACAGAATAAGCAGTTAGACAACAATATGTCACATATCTTTTGAAAATAATGACATAATTTCATTTTAATAGAGTAATGCTTTTTATAGGCAAGATATAGATCAGGAACTGAAATACAAAAACCTTTATTAAAATGAACGTGTAGTATCCTGTTTATCGCATATGACTTAACGTATTTTCCACATGACAAATAACATACAACACACACACACACACTCATACAAAACTAATCTGTACAAATCAACTATAGAAGAGCGAACACAACAACAATTTGACATTAGTCATTACAAATATATGTGATGACTGCTTACATATTTCTATTGGTAAAAATGTCCATGGACAAATGACCTTCAAATAAACTGACTTCAATTTATGTAAAAAATTTTTGACTATATATTCTGATGATTAATAAAAATCCGAATAAATCTGCTAAAGCAGCTTACACAGTGAAACGTTCAGAAAAATCTTGTTTTGACTTTCTTAACACGCTGGGATTAATTAAAATAATTTATAATGAACTTATCATCAAGCTGTACAATGTATATATGGTGTTTTAGAAAATTATATCCGGTGTGGGAATTGAATCAAAGGTGTGAATGCACGAAATAAGAATGGTATGAAATGCAATTAAAATAAACGTCATTATAATCATAAATATTTGTACCAATTGAAAAGTTTGAACAGTCATCACATATTTTTAATGACAATATCAAATTGTCATATGTGGTATTTGTCTGTATGAGTGTGTGTGTTATTTGTTGTATGGGAAACACGTCAAAACATGATAATATTTCAGTGGTCATAATATAGGATTGAGTATATATATCTATATATATATATATATATATATATATATATATACATGTATATCTTTGAGCGAAAAATAGTTTTCAGTTAGATCTCGACAGGCTTAAATATAATATACATAACTTTACAAATAAAAATTCAAATATAAACCGATCACGGTTTTTTGTCAGGAGGATAATAAGAGTGTGCATATAAATTGCTCAATTGGTCATAATAATAGTGATGACAATAATAACAGCATCCATCCTTCGCTTACTTTTACTTGTGAAGAGGAGCAGGATAGTAAACTACACTTTGTGGACGTCTTCCTAAGTAGGCGAGAAGATGGTTCACTGGGGAGAAGCGTGTACAGAAAAAGCACAATCACAGGGCAGTACACACACTACCTTAGTTACGTTCCCATTAAATATATAATAAATATTGTTAAGTGTCTTAAGAGCAGAGCAAGAAATATGTGTACAGACGACCACTTACTAAAAGAATCACAATATATTCATGATACCTTGACAGAGATAGGCTATTCGAGTAGTTTCACAAGGAAGCATATGAAAACGTTGGAGAGAAAACCTGAGACTATGACTACACGTAAAATACCACTATTTATTATGTTACAATTTAATGATGGCTTGTAAAGTGATATTTTATTACAGAGACTTTCCAGGAATATACGAAGAACGTTTTACGCAGCAAACCTATGTTTCTGATTCTGTAGCCGACGAATAATTGCGGCGCAAACGAAGGATAGGCTAGATAGTTTTGCCACATCTTTGTGCATTTATCAGTTCAACTGCACTTGGGATGACAGTTATATTGGGTGTAATACTAGACAACTTAGCCAATGTGTTAATGAACACCTAATATCGTGGTATCAAAAAAGAGAGACAAATCAAACCGTAGCAACATTTCGTCACATTTAGCTGCAAAATTAAGCTGGTCAGTTCCATCAGACGTATGAATGAAAAACCACATATTTGAATATATATGTTTCGTACTTTGAAACAACTCTATCTTGTTCTACAGATTGTCTAGACCTTATGAGGAACACTCCATTAAATTAAGATATCTGACGGCCACTACTTTTATTCCTATTGGAGATGTCAATGGACTGCACAACAACCAATAGTGAAATTTTTCAGTGTCCTATTCAAGTTTCATTATTCAGAACATTAAATATTTCAGATATCCTAAATAGCATTACACGAAGTCGAAGAGCTACAAGTGAAAACCAACGATTTAAGAGCAAAAACAGGCAGCAAAGACAGGACTTTAAGTGAACATTAGGAAAACAGAAGTGATGAAAATGTCTCAACAACAACAACAAACACAAATTGCCATCAACGGGACAAATTTGAAGGAAGTCACCTATTTCACTTGTCTAGGCAGCATCATTTCAGCCATACGCGGCATGGATGTCCATATCAGAGGCAGGATCGGCACAGCAAGACAGGTCTTCATTAATCTGAAATTAGTGGGGAAGTCTATTGCATTCAGGATGAGGAACAAGATTAGGATTTTCAACACTAGTGTGAAGTCAGTAGGCTGCAGACTTTCATTAACAGGTGCCTTGGCTCGACTCTGAAGATCAGATGGCTAGAGAGGATTAGCACCAAGGAACACTGGCAACCAACAGACTAAGAACTGTCGCCCACCAAATATGCAGAAATAAATGGATGGGGATCGGACATACACTAAAGAGACCGCTGAGTGACATCACGAACAAAGCAGGTCTTAGAGTGAGTGGGAAACTGTGAGTTGGGCGTCACTTCGAGAGTGACATGGAGGAGATGATGTGAGGATTGGATGAAGGCTTATGGGAAACCGTGGAGTCGGCTGAGAAAGAGTAGAGAGAACAGGATGAAAAGGGGACATGCTGCTGAGGCCATATGTTCTACTCGGACTCCAAGGGAATAATAATAAAAACCACTAACTTTACATAAAAATGTTTAGCGGTACACATGAAGTCAGTCTTGAAGTTGATAAAGGTGAAAGCTTTAGGAAACGAAGGTGAATATCGGTTAGTTAAATTACTGTTGCCTTTATTCTTCTGTGTTTCAGTGAAATAAATATTACTCTTACCACGCTGTCATGATTCTCATTTAAATATCATATTTTATTGGTGAGTCTGTCGGCATCCACAACATCCCTTTACCATTCAAATAAATAATTTCGAAACTGAACTGAAACTTCGGACACAATTATCTTAAAGGCTTTCTAAACGCTACTGACTAAATGATGACCACTAAAGTCGCTTAGGCAATACAGTCAACATGACTGACAAGTTGCGTAATCACGCCGGCAATATATATATATATATATATATATATATATGATGGCATCAATTAGGCATTATCTAAGTTTTTCTTCATCAACGGGGTTATTCAAAAATATGTTGGAAAATCATCTCACTGTCTGGGTAAACTGATCAAGAAATCATTTGTACCCCCTTGATCGAAGGTTGCAGATGAATATTCAGTCGACAAATCAATTAGAAAACATAAACTAACTATGATAACATACAAGATACATTCAATCATGTCTTTTTCTTTATATAAGTGTCATCTGATTTCGAATCTATTTTCTGTGCTGTTTTACTTCCAAATAATGTAGACCAGCGATATAATATTATGCCTACCTCACTGTCAAAAATATGAAAGGAGTGATCTTTTGTGTAAAAAATATCTCTGTAGATTTCATCTTGAACTGATGTCAGTTAGAGAATCACTGAAAATCAATGAGAAGTGAACAAAATGCACTACTGAAATTCCTAGACTGGGAACAAAACAGAGAGCGATCCAGTGCTACCTGATTTCCAATGAATCCCTTATTGATTTTAATTCGTGATCAGATATATCTACATTGAAATCAATAAAATCCTCTGAATAATCTTAAATATTGAAAACAAAGGTAGTTTTCTTAAGAGCTGAAAGACAGTTTCAGAAAATAGTAAATTATGTTGTTTTTGTGAATAATATGAGATTTTATGAAATACTAGTGTTCGTTGCTAAGGGATGAGTATGAACGCAGAATTACCTATGAGTTAATTTACTTTGCAACAGCAATTTTTTCATTCCATGCATTCCGAGTGAAATATAGAGAGATCAACAAGCTTGAAGTTTGAGCAGCATCAGTGCTGCTTTTTACGCCTTACCCTCCTTCTTTTCATGGTTAACTACCGGCTTGTAAGCTAAGCGAGTTTTAGGAGCGCGTTGGTTGAGAATCTAACCTAGAACTCCAGCATGGCTAGTTTACAATCTGCTGTTGAACCACTCAAGCAAACAGTTGCAGTTACTTAGGACTAATCTAGTCATTGAGACATCTATTTGCTTAAATGAAAGAAATCTCAGCAGGTGTGATATACTTTTATATATGCTTAATATTGTTTTTTTCATTTTTGAGAATCTTAACTTTTTTTCTTACGGTTACATATTATCAGCGTTTGATGCTTTACAGTCACGTGCTAGGTAAACTTAATTTGGTTGGACCATGTGGTGATTGCTTTTAATTTAATATATAAATAGATGCTGGGTATGGATTTGTTTCAGTATTTGGATGTTGTTATTCACGTTAAACCGCAGTGCATGTTAGTTATATTGCATTTCTTGAAACCCTGGATGGCTGTTCAGGCTGTTTGAAGATAATCTCATCAGGAATGATCTTGGTTTGATTCATTTCGTAGAGCGAAAACAGTTATCTGCTTGATACCGTAAGTGACTACGAGGAAAACAGGCGAAATAGAGAGATGGTATACACTCCTGGAAACTACGTGATAACCACTTACTTGGAACAATGGTGCATTGAAGCTCTGTGGTGTGTTTAATATATGATACAAAACGAATGAAACACAACGGAATTAATAATAAAGTGGTTAGTGTATCCAGCGTGTGGATACAGAATGTGTTAAAATCGATGAGATTAAATGAAAGTAGTGCTGTGGTGAGAGCTGGCTGCTAGCCAAATTGGTAGGCAGTAATTTACGTCAATGTCTACGTCCCCAATTTTGGTCGTGAGAATAATAAGAACAAAGACTGATTCGACAACCAGTCTCAGGAGACTTTCCTTGGGCGGATACAATTTGCTGATAGGTAATCGAAACTTCAATAACCGGCCACAAACAGATGAAAGATTAATTAGATTAGTTCAGTGAGAAACCACCAATCAAAAGACTGTGTTTGTTTGCTTACAATAATCTATAATAATGTACGTAAAAATCTATAAATGTCTGTTTATTTCGTTAATAAACGATCTGTTGCCTTTCCCTTGTCTTCTGTTGTTACAGTGCTATATCACGAATATTAGGGATTCAGAGATTATCTATCATTGGTTTCAAACTCAACAGGTGAATGTTAGTAAGGTCGGTGAATTACAGAAATATGAGTGTACACAGATGACTGAGACAGAAGTAAAATGATTAAATTATCTTGTGCATCATGTTTCTCACTAGTTCTTTAGCTTGCTTCGTTTTGGGACTTAAATTGCTCTGAAATCACTTGATTAATGTAAAATTTAAGCTAAATTGCATGTTTTGGTTGAATTATCACCGGTGGCATTCAATCTTTTCAATGACATTCGATTATTACCGATGAGCAGTAATCAAATAGTTATCACCAACATAAATTGGATATATTTGTAGACATCTGAAGGGTTTTTATAAGAAGGTAAGAGAAGAGCATTCAGCTGGGTCAGCAGCTGCACTGTCTGATATTCTTTTCGCTCTCACTCTTGAAATGTGAGTTACTTGAAGAAGGAAATCGATATGAAATCGATGCCGATGAACTTCTAACAAACATTTATGGCCGTTTCATAATAAAGTTAGAACATGAATTTGATTTCCACTAGTAAAAGAATACCAACGTCAATGAGCAACAGATCGACTAATTGTTGGTCGTTTATTCTTAGACGCTGACTCTTAGAACAGTTCATTGAGATATGTAATCATCAGATGACTTTGAGCAACCAGCCAGAATGTAGAAGGTAACAGCTCTTAAATTTGTTCATAAGCTCTATATTTAAATATACAGAGAGGTTAATTTGCACAGGATAATTTAGCCTTAGATTAACATAACTTCAGCCCTACAACTAACAAAGATGGAAAGACCACATCAGAAGTGAGACCGTGGAATTAAAGCGAGGATAGCATTCATTACTAATGACGTCATCGGTTGCCTCAAGCTTATTCTGAAGGTTCCTATTGGTGGCGGTCTTCTTAGAGTATGTCCAATCCATCTCCACTTTCTCTTGCATATTTATTTGGCAATCGTTTGTTTATTGGTTCGCTGTTAGATTTCCTTTTTGCTGACCCTTTCCAGCCATCTGGTTTTCAGTATGTAGAGAAGGGGGCAGGTGTTAGTAACATCTGCAGGTTGTTGGAATTGCCTGTCATGACGCACTAAATCTCTGAAGCACTCATTTACAAGTACTGATTGGTCTGACATTAGAACTGAAGATTCAGATATTGTTTCTTATGCTGAGTGCAGCAGAGTTCTGGAGTGATTTCAGAATAACGAATGTCTGTCTTTCTTTTTCGATCCTGGATGGCTTGAACATCGTCATTTGTGCCGTCTGTAGTTGAAACGAAGCTGCCTAGATAAGTTAATAGAACGGTGGTGACATTTAATTGACAGACTCTGCATCCAGTTACCCATTTTAATTAATATCACATTCTTTTTAAATTTCTTAGGAAAATCCTCCTGAGGTTAATGCCTATGGAATGAAATGTGAGACAATGAAAAAGATGAATTATTTGTATGGCTTTGAAAATGCCAACTTTCATACACCATCACCACGCAGTTCACTATTCCGAAGAAGATCAAGTAAATCAAGTATGACAAATTTCGAAAATAAAAACAATTCACAAAAATCAAATGATGAGAAGACTAATGGTTAGTTAGTTTTTAGTTTTAAGATCATATAATTAGGTGATTCTCTTTTTTGAGCGGGTGAGGTGTTTTGCATGATTTCAGTGTGTATCTTACCAGTAGTCTTACTGATGTAAGGGGACAGTAGGGAAGACAACATTGGAAATATTAACCTACTGTACATTAGTAACTCACTCCTGAAGCTTCAAACAGAAATCGTCAGCAGTGACCTCTACCAAGCTGAATGCGAAAATAAGTAATATTGAATTTGCACGGTGTTAGATTTTTATCTCGAGTTGAAGGAAATTAAAATTCATGATTCCGAGTCACACAAATCTCACCGCGTAACCTAAGGGCCATGAGTTCAGCTTCTGTTGGAGTAGTGAGTAAGTAATTCTGAAGAGCCCTGAAACAGGACGAAAAGGCGAATGATTACTTTAATCATCTGTTTTTTAAAAACAGTTTTATGCCTGAAATTTGAATGATGTTCAAAACTTAACAGGTAACTTTAAGTAAAAAAAGTGATGAATCACAACTTGTTATCAAGCACATAACAAATCTGAGGTTGCACTAACTGGTTGCAGGCTTCTCACTTATCGTGTATCCTTCATGTTGGTAGACGGTTGTCGGCTGGAGGAACAAAATGTGTATTCTTACCTAGGTGGTAAAATATTTTTGTGCACAGGGTTATTTTTTTTCTAATTCAGCATTCAGTAACGAAAATTAGTCGATCCTAAAAGAAAACAAATTAATGCACTTTTGAATTGTTACCAATGCTTATGTCTAAAGCACTGAAAACGTTTTGTGGAGAATGAGAAAATGCCAAGTTGGTTCCTTTTTATCGAACAACATACTCTCTGTTTCAGTCAAAGAATCTCAGATACTCTTCCTGCACTAAATATAATTGTGTATGCAAATTCACCTGTATCTGCAGTAGCAGTTATAGTGGGAGAGTAGGAAGAATAGCACACCTTAGATTCTTTGTCCATATACCGAAAAGCCTACATTGCAAGCTTACAAGCGGTTCTACTAGTGCTACTGCCATATACCTCGTGGATACGGGACATATGTTGGACATCCCGAAATCCTTTAGAATTGTCAATTTAAATCAGTTCTCCTCAAGTTTGCTGAAGCAATTACTATAAAACGTTTAAAAAACCCGATTTATGTATTCAGAAAGCAGAAGTTATTAGTCTTTCCTTGCCCTGGTAACTCTATTCATTAGCTCTTCCGGCAAAGCTGAACTATCATGCTGATTGAGCAACCAATCAGAATTCAGATCCAAAACAGTCGCATAATCGTTGAAAAATGCAGTAAAAAGCATTGCAAACATTATATTACACTCTATATTTGTCGCTTGTGTTGTATCTATAGAGAAATCATACTATGTGACTGTAGGTAATGGTACTTTGAGATCCACTGATATTTCTAATACTGTTATTCAACCTACTCTTGACGCTAACCATAATTCTAACCTTAACCCTAGACCATAAGCCTTAATCTTAAAAGCCATTACCTTTCTTAACAGTATTCGTATACAGAAAAAGTACCAAGGGAATAAGGAGAATACTGTATCTACCCTCTCCAAGTCAAAAAAGGCAGGCATGATTTGATTTGGAATGACATTCCATAGAAATCCCTGTATATGACTGGTTCTTGAAGGTTAACTTTTGAAAAGCCGTTTACTTTGGCTATGATACTTTAGCTTTGCCACTCTTACTTTTCTTCGACTAGGTAGTGTTTTTCTCTAAACCCTTCCCTTTTCTTTGTGATGCAATTTTATTAGTTTTTTGTTTCTATGTTTTGAGTTCAGCTTCCCACGCTGTTACGCAACTTTTTCGTTACTTACCATTAAGTTATCCATCTCCTGGCTTTGTTACTGAACTCCTTTTCTACTGTATCCATATATTTATGTGTTCTTTTGATTGTTTTTTTTTAAATGAAACTTCCGTGTGTATAAGTTACATAATTTTTACTTCTTAGAGCTGTTTATTGGTTGTTGAGTCTCTTATTAACCAACATCATGTCATCATTGGAAGTAAGCCGGAATTTCTTCCGTACATATGTAACGACAGAAGGCAAGAGTCAGGCAGCAGATCATTTATTAAGGAAATCAACGCATATTTATATATATTTTCAGGTACATTACTATGGATATTTAAGTAAACAAACACAGTCTTCCGATTGGCTGTTTCTCACGTAAAGTTATTCTTTCATCTATTTGTGACTGTTTCTTGAATGTCAAATCCTCTATATGTTAACTGCATCCGCCTACGCAAAGTCTGCTGTGGTTGGTTTTGAATCAATCTTTGTTCACATTTTCTCACGACAAATCTTGGGAACGTAAATATTGACGTAAATTACTGTCTACCAATTTGGCTAGTAGACAGCTCTCACCACACATATACTGAATTAGGCTGTACTCAGCCGAGGAGAAACCGACAAGATAAATGATGGCATTGTCTTATTCTGCTCAAATCGTTGTTTTGCCTTATTCACATTCGTGAATAGTTTTATTTCCTTAGAAAGCACGTTTGGTAGCGCAATGAATATCATATTTGGTGTGGAGATTTGGCTTATTGGCTAAGAAAGCCACTAGGTTTTCGACCAATATATGACCACGAGTTTGAGTTCTGCTCTGCCCACTTCAGTCTATGCAACTGGGTGCTATTATCAACTCTCATATGACATGTATGACTCTCAGCCTGGGGTATGGAAGATCTGTTCTGGGTAAATAAGTTAAAATAATAATGGTATATGGCAGTATAACGTGGCCAAATCAATTAATTTGTTTCATTGAGTGGTTATAAAAATTAATATTATTAATTTCTGTCAACGAATATCTTACACTACTTGTTCAGCACAGTGTACACACTATAAGGAAATCCTTTTTCATAAATAATTACAAACACGTAAGTTAGAGAAGGGATCTATTTCGATAACTTCTCTTCAAAGCTGTACAGTTATATAGAGGTTTTAAATGAACAATATTAATTGATAAGAAAGGTTAGATGTTACTTTTCAGCGTTGAAAGCAGAACACAAAAGAGTCAACAGCTCAATTTTGGAGTGCTTAATTACTGCTGACCATGAAGGATCAGCAGAAAGTTCGTTTAGAATCATATATAAAGTAAGATAAAGCCAGTAGAAAGGATTTTGCGTGTACCTTCCACATGTAGACAAAGTTATGACAATCCATAAGGACAAACCTGGACAATTTGTTCAGAAACGTTTTGTCCAGCCTCTTTAACTACCATGGGATGTGTCAATTATATTCTTTTGATTTTTTGAGTGATAAACTCTATGTAGCCTTCTTATTTTTCTCATTTTTTGAAACCCATTTTCAATTCTTTGTTCCCTTCTTTCTGATCAATTATTTCTAACTGACAATTCATTACTTAACTACTTATTGCCAACCTTCTCGATTATGCAAGATTATTCATTATTTTCCACTCTCTTTCGTTTCTCATATACTTGGATTTATCTTTGGTAGTAACAGATATCTACATCTGACCATTTTTACCAACTGACATTATACATTTAAACCCGCTACATAAATATAAAGCCTTGAAGTGAAGTTTCGAAAAGTGATCTCTTTGCTGACTAATGTGTTCTTAATTCATATCACATAGAAATAATAATAAATAAATATGTGTAGCTTCGAAGAAGTGGACAGAGTGTTTGCGTAAGGTGTACTTGTTGTGGCAGTTCTCAAAATCAAGTATTTGCTGAAGAGTAATGACAGATTTTTTGTTCCATTTAGCCAAATAGTGGAGGCTCTAAAATATCACCGTCAGCTAATAAAATAAAAATAATTTCATCTCTCAGTCCTAAAATAACTGTAAAAAGCTTTTGTGTAATATGCTTTAAAGATTATTGACTTCATGATTCTAGATGATGTCAAATAAACAATCGTTCATAGGAAGTGGTCACATAAGGGAATTGACTGATCAGGTCTCATAAATCACCTACAGAAAAGACTAAAATTTTCACTCATTAAGTTGACTTTATGTGACTAATTTTAGCTTTAAACGAACTTACAACAGTAATATTATTATTATTATCCGGTTGGATTCCTAATGGAACAGCAGAACATCTGCATTTCACTCTGTTCTCTTCTGTTTTTGTAAACTGCATCCCAAGAGATGAATTCAGTCGTTAGAGAAACTTCAAAGCACAGACAAATATTTTAAAAATACACTCACGACTGTAATTTTTGATATATGCCAGAGAATATTCGATCCTATTGTTTCGAGTTAGATTATGGATTGGTATCAGTTAGAGAGTGCATAGATGGTTCAATGGTAGAATGCTCACCAGCCACGCACGCACATGGTCCGAGTTCAGTACCCCGGCGGCGCAATCCTAAACCTCACTTAGCTGGTAGCAAGCCTGGTAAAGACGAAAGGTTGGGACAAAGGCTAGTAACTCCATCTTGTGGAAAAAATCACCGTGGCTAGTGGAATACCAAAGAGAAAAGCTTGAAGCCTTATATTCCACTCAAAATCCAAAGAGATGAAAAATAATCACTTAAGGAACCACTGAAAGCCATGGAGTGATGGAGAGCTGTTCCGTTCCAGGTTTTAAATTGTTCTCTAAATGATGCAAATACGTGATCTTGAAATGAATGCATCTCATGTAAACCAACATTTGAAATCTCATTGTTATTATGTAGTGCTTTGGAATTAATATTATTAAGGAATACATATTTATCCACTCACAATATATTCAGTTATTTCCACTATCTGACTTCAAAACTAAAAATTTAGTGTTAAAATGATTGTTTTTGAACAGTTCTAATAGTAGTTTCTCCCAGAATTTCTTTTTGACTTCCATCTTTCTCTACACAGAATTTCCACGGACTTCACGACAAATGACTACTGCAAAGAAGACCCATAAAGACTTGTCACCACCGAAAATTCTACTGGATAATATTCCACCAGAATCTTCATATGCAGCAAAGAAAGTGGACAGTTTAAAAGATACTCAAAAGAATTCTTCATCTGATAAAGAAAATGAATCTAGTTCAACCGTTGGTAGATCATCAAAAGTTAACGTTCCAACTTCTAATCGTTTGCCAGTTTCTAGTAAACGACTGCTATCTGCAGGTTAGTTAAATTCTGTTCTTATATAAATCAACTGAACACTTATAACTCGAAAATAGCAAACTGGTAGAAGCTAGAATTCATGGTAAGGTTTAATTCCGTCTCGGTGGCGGAAACGTCAACGGGATCGCGTAGTAAACTGCATGTCCTGAGTTCGACCCTCAGTCATGTCATGGGTGTATGTTTTCCATGAGTTCCAAACTAGAACTAGTTGTTTCAATAGTTGTCCAGCTATTGTCAATCTGTGATCAGACTTGTAACAAATAAGATCCCTACAAACTAACAATTGAAAACTTACAACTCTCATTCCTGATAAATTTATTCATAGAACATAAGAATTTATCAGTTCAAATGATACGGAAGAAATTCCACAGTCTAAAGGATTAATTACAAAACTGGTTGGTTTATCCTACTTTCGGTATTTTTTTCAAGGAGTATATAAATAAGAAGGAGTGGTAAAGGTTGTTAATTGATGTAAATCCGGGTCGAGACCATTGCTTCACCTTCAGTCTTCACGTATTACAACGAAAACAGTTGAGCCAACCCAAGACTATCTCACTGTCTCACTATTCTCTGAGCCTAATGAAGTATGATTAGGACTAATAGGAGTAGAACTGGACGGTAAAACAACCAGTCTCATGATAAACAGACAGTAAAGTACTATTCATTCACATGTCAGTCAGGTACAACTCTTTGAAAATGCTGGCTGGACCTACACTTTAATTTAGCCTTCAGTCACTACCCACGAAATGAGTATGTAATCATGTACCTACAGCGAAATGACACGATATGGGCTCAGTACATACTAATTTTTTTTTTTGATTTACAGCTTGATTTCCACACCGTATTTTCAGTACAAGTGTGGAACTTTCAGCATGGATATCGGTTGCCCAAATTCAGGCTGACCATAGATATCGGGTGTGCGCCGGCAGGGGTTCGAACCCCGGACCATGTGCATGGTCGGCGAGAGTCCTAACCACTGTGCCACCGACGCACAGTTCTTTAAATTCTGAGTGGGATATAGGACTCTAGACTTCCAGGTTTCAGTAGCAGTTGGGTACTTTTATGAGGTGGCGTTGCTAGCCTTACTCCAAATCTTCCCTCTTTATCAGGCTTATTACCGGTTAGGAGGAGTTCAGAAGTGCGTTAGTCGGAAAACATATACGTGCCGGGTGAACATTCTACAACTGAACCCCCGACGAACACAAATATGAAAAGTATCAATGAAAATTTCGATCTGGACAAAAAGACAATTCTACAGCTTAAGGTTTCAAAAAGGGGGAATCAAATCGTTCTTTTCTAAATAATCTAATGGCTTAGACGTTCAGTTAGAATAATGACTGAACACTAGAGGCTGAATATTATTTGCCAAATAATTACTGATTCGGTTAGAAAGATTGGTAAAATAAATAAATGTGTAAAACTGATGCTGATGCTAGCCAAGATGGTCAACGGTTGGCAGACTGTTGTTTATGTAATGGGTGAAATGGAAGTTTGAGTCACGGTAGCATTCGAACCAGTAGCTTACGAATTCACAGTCCAGCGTCCTACTATATGAGCTTCGAAACCCAGATGCTAACTACATTATCATCTCACTGTAATCACCATGGGTAATGTCCAGCCGTAATGTGAATAAATCATATGTTACTGGTTATTTTTCATCAAGCTATCGACCCAACTAGGAATATTTTCTACCATCAATCACAGTCAGATTGAATGAATTAGTAGTGGAGGGGCAGGTTGGTAAGTGAGGTTGACAGTATCTTCAAAATCCACTGGTTCAAATTCTGTCGTGATCAAGATTTGAATTTCATCACCATCTATTAAATATGCAAAACTTCAACACTGGTATTTTGTAATTCCATATTAATTTGTTTATCTGGTGAAATAATGGTCTTTAGTGGATAACCATTTGAGCACAATTTATTGTTCACATGCACATTTTGGCTGATCGTATAAGACATTTTGTTAAGCCATTCGAAAAAGACAGGATGATAAGTGAACTTATATTTGAACAGATTTATTCTAATGTGTGTGACAACATACCGTTTGCAGTAAATTCACATTTTGTGAGAACACGTCTGACATTTCAAATAAAAAGTAGGTTTTAAACAAATTTATGCTTGCTGAGATGAGTCATAAATGTTAGTCTGACGATGGCTTTGTCTAAGTAACAGCTCTGTTTGTATGACTCACTGTAGTTCAATAAAAACTTTGGTATAATGCAATGACTAAGTGGCTTGAAAATAACACATATGCTACTGTATATTCTTCTAAATAATTGCTAGTTTGAACTATTCGTTTGCTTTAGAATGCAGAGTCCCAGAATCTAGTGCCAAGACTACAATGCTTGCTATTATTATTCAGAAGCAGGCTTTTCAGAGGACTGAGATCTTGGGGTATCTGATCTACCATATTTGAATATCATGCCGCGAACCTTATAGCCTTAATGTCAGTAAAAAGTTTGGGCATTGTGGGATAGATCAAATAAATTATAGTTATATTTCAATAGTTTACACACAATGATAGATTGTTTTGGTAATATTTAGAGCGACTCCATAGACTATACCAACCATTTAACACAAAAGTAACTGAAATGTTGCTTTTTAATGTTAAATAAACAGGCCGTTGTCAGTTGATAATGTTCAAGATGTTCTGCTTCATATTCCAGTTGTTATTTCTGACGTAATACAAATTTCCTCAGCTAAATATAATGATTCATTCCACAAAGATCTGAATGGTGGTTCGAAAACTGAAAACATCTCATGAATTTGAAGTCAAATCTGAATCATGCTCAGATAAATTACATTTTGCTGTTTTATCGAAGTTCGCAGTCTATTATTAAATTAAATAAAAGACAATTTGATAAAGACAATTTTCAAGCATTGGTTTGTAGGGATTTGACTTATTGGTTACAGTAATTCGTCATGAGCTGACATTGGTTAGAGAACCATTGGAAAAATTAGGAGTAATGGATAGCTGTTTTGTCCTAGTTTGGGATTCTTCGCTATTTCGTGAAATGGCAGAAGTTGGAATTCATAGACTGGCTTTTGGGTCAGGTCATAGTGGCTTAATGGTCTACGAGCTCACCTTTTAACCAGAAGATACTGGGTTCGAACCCCAGTGGGCACGTACTGATGAAGAGTTTCAAACCAGGACGAAACAGCTGTGCAGTACCCTGAAGTGTTCCAATGGTCCTCTAACCGACATCAGCTCATGATGAAATCCTAAAACTATAATAGTGTGTTGAACACAGTTCATACGTTAGAACTCCTTTGAATTTCAATGGAGACATCACTTTGTTCAAAGCTGCATAGACACTTCATGTAGATGACCCTAAGCTAATATGCAGGAAACTTAGGTCCATGATTGTTTGCGTGTTGTCTTTAAACATCATGTGTAAATTCACAGTGCAACATGATTTCTAGTCTACTAGCTTAATGACCACATTGCCACCTGACTGGATGACTGACTGATAGCACAAAGTCAATAATAAAAACTACTATGGCCTTCCTCTCATAGTGACCAATCAACACAGATAATTTCTTTTATTATTTTAAAAATATAATTACTCTTACTAGTTTTAAAATCACTTTACGCTTTCCTCTATCAGCTGGGGAACGCAAAGCAGAGAGCCGCATTAATGGGCCATTCACTATTCAGTTTATTATGAGTTCACCTGCATGTGTAGAAAAAGGTACGTTAATAATTTCATTGATACATTTGTAGAAAGATATTTTTCGTTTACTTCTTTACTTAAAATTTCTCTCAGTTCTTTTTAATCTGTGTTGTGTCTTAACAGTGTTTTGAAACATGCAATGAAAAGTTTTATATTATTCTGTATACTTAGTACGTATAGTAAAACGTCACATGAAAGGTTTTCACTTTTTCACTTTATAGCCAGAAGGGACCCTAAAGCGAGTTCGAACTTCAAGGGGACGTCAGTTACTTCAAACATGCCTCACTGATAACTCTTGACACTGTAAAATTCGTCACGCTACCACACCAGTTAGGGAATCGTTGAAGACTAGGGAGTACTGGACAGATGTTTCATCCTATTTTGGGACTGCAAAGCCCGCCTTGTAAGCCGAAGGCATTAAATTCGACACATGGTAGCGTCATGGGTGAGTACTAATGAAGTGTCCCGAACTAAGACAAAACAGCTTTCCAGTGTACCCTGGTTTTCAGCGATTCTCTAACATACGTCACTTTGTAAAGAAATCTAAACTAAACATTGAGTTCCACTGAGTAAATAATTGGCTTCTTAACTCAGCATTCTTGCTTATTCGTTCCTGTTTGAATGTGATTAATCGATTTTATGTTGTGGTTTAAACGGAGACATGGATTTAACGTAGATTACAGATTCATATCAGTATCGATTTTGTCATGAACCAACATCACTTTCGGCAGTCATTAAAACCAGGGTGGACTGTTTCGTCCTAATTCGCGACACTTCAGTAGCGACCTTACCATGGATTGAATCAAGCACCCTCTGATTGCCCGGTTAGTCTGCTTACCATCCAGTCACTATGACGAAATCTAATAATCCATGAGTTCTGTGCATATCAGATATGTCCACTAAAATTATTTCCGAATGATGTGATAATAACACACAACTGGAACTGTTCACTTCACTGTCCCCTTTCGTTTACATAGAATTTATTGTAATATATTTCACAAAGACGCTATCACATTCCTTCTAGGCAACACTTAATAATACACCTTATACCCTCACGATGAATGTCTCTTACGATGACGATATGCGACTTCATAATCAGTCATCTCAAACCTTGGTCAGAGTTCGTATAAAATAAAGTGACTGCATGCGAGAATATAATAAAACTGATAATGCTGTAACAACAGAAGACAAGGGGCAGGACACAGATCATTTATTGAAAAATCGAGAGGTATTTATATATTTTTTATGTACATTAATATTCGTTATTTTAACAGAGACGCAACGTCTTCTGATTGGTTCTTTTTGCTAGAGGTTATTCTGTACTGCTTGTGACCGTTGTTTACAAAGTTATCTATATATCTGAGAATTGTATTTGCACACACTAATTCTGCTGTGATTAGTTGTTGAGTTCCTCAAGGTTCGGCTTTGTTTTTGTTTTTTCTCATGACCCCGATTCGGGACGTAAACACTGACGTAAATTGCTGTCTACCAATTTTGCCTAGCAGACAGCTCTCACCACGATACTACTAATACTACTGCCAATACTACTACTAATAAAATTTCACAAAATTATTTTTAAGGTTGGACAAACGAGAATATATTAGTCAGTTTTATGAATACAATGGAGTGGGCTCATTCACGTTTAACAAATGCAATGAAAAAGAAGTAAGCCATTTAACTATTAAATTTGTGAACTACTCTATGGTGGTAAAACCAGAGTTCTTTTAAAATCTTTAGACATCAGGTGATCTGAAAGGTGTTAACAACTTAACGTACCTTTTTTCCAGTTCACCACTGTGGTTCAATGGTGGAATGCTAGACAACTATGCAAGCACGTGGTCCGAGTTCAACTCTCGACCAAAGCACTCTTAAACCTCGCTCAGCCATTAGTAGGCCCGGTAAAGAGGGGAGGTCGAGTGTAAGGCTAGCACGCCAACTAATTAAGAAAAACTCCACCGCTACTGAAATTTATAAGCGTAGAGGGTTGAACTCCTGTTTTCCACTCCGGTAGCAAAGGAATGGAAAAAAATTATGTTGTTATTATTACGAAGATATGCCAGTGTTTGGAGACTTTCCAAACGAATAATTCAGCTTCCAATGATTTTAGAGTTGTGTTGACTTAAAGCTTCGATTGAAACCTTTTTGGTCTCACCAGTAAACTTCTACATATTTTGTCTAGAATATGAGCCACTTTTGATCAAATGAATGCAAAAACCTGGGCATTAATCACTCAACGTTAATGTCTCTGACTACAATACTAGGTGACACTGATTAGAATCTAGTTCGTGGTTGAGAACTGTCTTCATGATGAGTGCCAGAGAAACCAAAGTCTACGTCTACAGGTTCCTGCTGATTGTCTCCAACCTCCGAACATCATTTCAAAGAGCACTTCGATGACGCATTAGTCAGGCTACGACAACATTAAGAAGTTGAAAACATGAAATTAGTTACCGCCTAGTAACTAAGCTCTGTACACCTATCATAACAAAGTAGGTTTGCTTTAACTTCAATTTAGAAAGACAATTTGCGTGTTATAAATTCTTACGAAATGCTTCATGTATAAATTGTGAATATGAATAAAAATGCATATATACGTATGGTGTCTTATTAAAAACTGCTAAATAATAGGCGTAATAGTTATAATTAAAATTTATCACCATTAAGTAAGGTGAATGAGGTAGGCAATAAAGTTGTAATAAACCACTGCAATTAAAATTTGTTGTATTAATTAACCACAAACATATACACGCAAACACAGATACAATTGATTTGTATGGTTATTGCTCTTCTCAAAATGACTGAATAATGGAATGATCTATGGATTTAAAAGACTTACTTCGCTGTTTATTTTTTTCATACTTTTTTTCCTGACTTAGTAAAGCAGATTATTATTACGAAGATCTTCAGTTTGTTCACTACTGTCAGCCACAATATATCACTTATTCAAGCATGTTAGGTGTAAAAAGGCTAAAGCTTTTGTCGCTAACTCATTTAACTTCAACTAATGATCCAACACTGACCAATAATGCTAATAAATGTATGACTGGAGATGTTACTACTGACAAAAGAATATCAGTAGGCAGTGAAGATTTTGTTGAAAATAAAGTCAAACTATTGTTTAAAATTGGTTTTGATAAAGTTAAAGAAGAGAGGTTACCAGCTATGAAAATATATCAAATTATGTCCAGCACATCAGTGCCTAGTTTAACTTCAATCCAACCTTACAGAAATTTATTTATGGAGGAATTTGAACGACACGTCATGGACAATATGACACTATTGACGATAGCAAATCTCAATGTTATTAAACAAGTTGAAATGATCTCTAGGAATATTGTTAAACTGAATGATAAGAAAGATGTGAGTAACAATTCAGAAGCTACATTAAAGTTGTGTATGAAGAAAATGGCCAGTGTTTTACAATCACAACAAAAGTCAATGAAGCAGATTGAAAATACAAAAGTGGAACAATCACATCCATGGTTTTCATATTCTTCAGATGGAACACTTACAGTCAGGTAAGGAAATGTACGGCACTTCTGTATTTCACCTTCATTACCGAATAGGGGTGGATTCATCTTCAGGTATCGTTTAAATACATGCTGACAACTGTGATAAGATGTTTACACTTATTAAGTGTTAGTGAGAATAGGTTAATGTATTTGTTAGAATAGAGATAATATTCAAAGATGTCACACCTCGAGTTTTCACAATGGATCTATTCATTTATTTATAACATTAACTTGCCGGTAGTGTACTTCAGTCACTAGGCTACCTCGATTTTCATGCAACATAATACATCAAATTTTCTCCATTTCTTATTTTTTTTCATAAATCAGTCATGTCTTCGGCTAGCAAAATGTACCAACTCTTGTTTTTATTTACCCAGCAACCTACTTTTGTACATTCTCAAGGGAGTAAAAATAAAAGTGTTGTAAAGGTTTGGTCTTGTCTGAAACTGGCAACTCCACCTAATAAAAAGGACACTACTGCGAATAAATTTTCAAAACTGAAGCTTGAAGCCCTATGCTCCACTGGGAATGGAATGGAATAAAATAATAATCGTAATAATATTAAATAGTCCTAGATAAATGTTTTCAACCTGCCCTAGTTTACTAGCTCGCCTCATGCGCTGCTATGTGGTTCAGCAAAGGAGGAAAGTGCTTCATCAATATCCTTTTCAACAGGCTAACACAGATTTTCATTAACAGATGTCTTCGCTCTACATTAAAGATCTCATGGCTGGACGAAAAGGATAAGCAACAAAGAACTCCGGAAATGAACCCGTAATTGAGGACTTATTGTCTGATAAGTATTCAGAAGGAAATGGAGACGATTGGAATTACTCTGAAGTGACCGTTGAGTGAGATCATTTACCAGACTTTCAATTTGAAAACTAGCGACAAGCGGTGATGTGGGGGTCTAAGGACGACATGGAGAAGACGAAGTCAGGAGGAAAATAAAAAAAATTTGAGGCAGTCGTGGAGCCAGATGAAAGTGATGTTGGAGAACAAAGTAGACTGGAGATGTGCCATCGAGCTCCCATGATCTTTTCAGAGCGTAGGGAATGAATAATTATAATAACGATAATGATAATACCTAAATGCAACCTAAGTAACATAATGGGTATGGCTTAAAATCCTAAAGATTTACTTCTTTTATTTGTTAGTAGATAACTGTTGTAGGTAAAAACTTTTTCGGCAGTGTATTACACCTGATGTTACTTTGATGGTGGTGACTAGCAGCAAAATCTGATGAGGAGTTCCAAGAAGGACAAAACACCCTGTCTAGGTTCCAGCCAAGTACCATTACTTTTAGCTCAAGGAAATTGTCAAAATGCCCATACTAGGAATCGATATGTCAACCGAGACCAAGAGTTTTATTCTAGTAAAAGTCAGTCATGGGGAAACGATGGATGCAGTGTTGAAATTCTCAACAGGATCACCATCATTCACTAGGGATGTAGGTACATTCAGATGATGAATCCTAGACAAAATGGAATCCAAATCCTAGATTTCACTGCCAGTCACTTCCAACTTCAACAAACAGCAACGTATTATGATACTTACTTATAATAACAAATACACACCTTTTTATCTACCAATAATCAATATAGCAGTTACAAAGTTTATAGTTCTTGTTTATAATTTACATTTTCTAATTGAAACAGATATCCTTGTGGTTCACCAGCTATTATATGGTCATCAAGTCCTTTACTGTGTCACCAGTCATACACAAATATTCACAGTCATGATTCATCATCAGTGAACCGAGTTAAAGCAAGTGATACTAAAATAAAGAATATTAAAGAGACCAATCCGTCAATTTTTACACAAAGATCAAATACAAATATCTCTAGTACTCACAGTGGTGGTGGTGTTAGTTTAAATAGTGCGAACTTGCTGAGTAAACGAAAGATGACTTCAAAACGTGAGAATGCTAAACAACGTACAGGGTTTTACTTAACACTTTTTGATATGCCACTGAATGAGGAAGGAAGAAAGTTAGACGGTAATAGTCACAAATTTGATCCACAGTTCCCTACATCTTCAAATCTGGGTCATGATCTAATGTCAATAAGTGAAAAGGAAAGTAATTTGAATCTGGATCCTATTCAAAGATCAAGAAATGCCATAAGAAGACCCAGTTCTATGCGTGACAATATATCCAGTAGTTGTAGTATGCACAGTGGTAGTAATCAGTCTGAAATGCATTCAGAACAATTGAAATCAGATGATAGACAGTCACATAATGAAGATATATACACAGAAAATTTAGCTACTGGCCCTCTGATTGGTCAGTTCACACCGACTGGTGAAGGTGTAATCTACTATCCATATAACAGTGATAACAGTGATGTAGCAGCAACGACCACAATGAAATCAAACAATGATAACAGAACAAAACGTTTACCGATAAACATTCACGCTATATTCACAAAAGATTATTGCTATGTATTCAATAAGTCTACTGGAGATTTAGACTATCAGTTTCCACGTGTTTCAAACAAAACTCTACATGATCCAACAATACGCTTCCCAGTATCATTAGATATAAGCTTTAATCAGTATATCAGATGTATTTATACAAACTGTAATGATTTGACAGTAATATTTAATACTCAGAATAATATACTACTGAATATTGATTGTTATCAAAATCTTTACACATTTGAAGAAGAAAATGATGGTGAAGTTTTGGCGTCTACAGAGGATGGTGGATTAAAACAGTGTCACCAGGTGAATGATAATAATACTGTTATTGAATTATTTGATTATTATTATTCTCCTGGGTTTCGAGGGGAACAGCACATTTTGGTTCACTCTGTTCACTGCAGTCCTTTTTGGTTGGCTTCAAGATTGCCCAAAAGCTTTCATGTCGTCCTGTAATGGTCTTCATCATGTTATCCTCAAACGCCCAAATCAACTTTCCTCTTTCTGGTTTCAGATGAGGGCCTGGCACCTGATATCTCTCAACAGTCTCCTCATCGTGTGTCAAACCTATCTTCATTTCTTTCAGCATATTTGCTGTGCGACTGGTTTTTGATAAGTTCGTAGCCAGAATTCCTTGTTGCCCACTCATCCATTTTCGCCGGCTATCTGATCTTCAATATGCAGCGAAGGCAGCCGTTGATGAAAGTCTGCGTCCTGTTAGAAATGCTCTCCGTGACCCACCAAGTTCTGAACCATATAGGAGGACTGACTCAACGTTGGCATTGAAAATCCAAATTTCGTTCTTCATGCTGAGTGGAACAGATTTCCAAACTGATTTTGGAGAGAATAACGTCTGCCTTGCCTTTCTGATTCTGGTTTAGACGTTCTCATCCATGCCAACTGTAGTTAAGACGATGCTGCCTAGATAAATGGAAGAAGTGACTCCTTTTGAATCTACTCCTTTCATAGTGATTGGTGCCTGTTGTCGATTGGTTGCTTTCATTACCTTCGTCTTCTTTATGTTCACCTGAGGTCCCGTCTTTGCCGCTTCTGTTATCAACCTGTTGGTTTTCGCCTAAGGATCTTCGAGTTTGTGGGACATCAGACGTAAATCATCCGCACATTCGGACCTCCAGAGTCTTCCTATCGGTCCAACGTATGCTCTTCTTCTTGCACTCAACAGTATGTTGTATGATCCAGTTTACCTCAGTTAGGAATATCATGGTTGACAGTAATTATTCTTGTCCTGCTCCTGTCTTCACTTCAAAGGTTTCACTAAATTTTCCACAGGGGATCACTTGGATGCAGTGTCGTCACATAGTTTTGAAGGGGGTTGATAAAGATTTGAGGTACTCTATAATGTTCAAGCAGTTTCCAAATTACTTCAATTAGCTAACTTAGCCTTCCGATAAGATATTGGTATGAAATAAACTACAATATCAATATAATGTTGTTAAATACAAAAGAACTATCGTAATCAGATAGACCACGGAGTAACACTAAGGTGTAAGCAGCTTTAGATGCAGGGATGTTTATGATTCTGTAGGATTAAAATGAACTGATAGGATCCAAAACAGTGTGAAATATTAGAACATAAACTGATATTACTCACAGAGTCATTGGAAAACAAGGGACTACTAAACAGCTGTTTCATCTTTGTGTACAACTCATAAGTACTCACAGATACTCGCCGATGACTCAATGAATTGCCAACTGGAAGGAGCTGAGTTGATGACTCATTGTATTTAGTCCGAGTGGCTGAGTGGTCATTGGGCTGGTCTCGTAACATAAAGGTTCTAGGTTTGGTCCCTGTCGAGTTAATCGGTGAGTACTGCTCAGAATTCCCAAACTAAGACGCAACAAATGTCGGACACTCCATGATTTTCAATAGTTCCCTGTGTGATATCAGTTCGTGATTTCACTTGAAATTAGATAAATCATCATAAATCTTTGCTTGAAAATATGAAATGTGTTTTCTTCATCGAATCTCCCACCAGTATCTAATAACCAATATCGTCGCTGAACTGTTTCTACGCGCAAATGACATGCTCAATTAAGAAATAGCAAAATCAGACTGCCTAGACTTTCAGTTTTGTATTCCTTTTGAGTTATATTAAGTTATTTGTAAGTTGTACTAGAAAACTGTACAGAGAGAACAGGTAGTACTAAACGCTTACAAATCACTGACCAAAATATGAATCGTTGCTTAGTGGTCCTAATCAGAGTAGTCCTACTTTCTCCTGACTGATAACAATATACTGGAATAGTATTTGAAACTCAAAAATGAAGCTGTGAGTTTCAAAAAAAGGATTTAAAAACAAAAGCCTCCGTGTTATTGAAACTCAAGAACATCACAAAAAACCACAGGACAGCACTGCTTACTTACTTCAAATCTTATAGGGAGACTAAATGTTAAAATTAACATTCCTATGGGAAGATACATAATTAACTGCCTTTTAAATTTGAAAGGGGCATTTTAAAACGCAACTGGAAATTAGACATAAATTTCTTTAAGTGTACGTTTGCAGAAATTTGACTGATTTGCAGATTGATCATGAATCGGCCTCACTTAGAGTACCAATGAGTACCATGTTGTACCAGATACCTGTTTTGTCCCAGTCTGAATCTCCTCAACAATATGTAGTCATAACCCAACGCCGGTTGCGATATGTATGACTAATTGGTAGAAGTTAGATTTCACGAGCCAATAGATTTCGTCCCTGTCGCTGAATGGTATAAGAACTCGCCTTGCAGCCTGAGGATCCTGTGCTAACTCTAAACAACAACGACCCAAACGAAGGACCCAAGCAAGCGGATATAGTGACCTTGGTCAACCAATCAGATGGGCCCGTGGTAAGTGCTCGTAATTGAAAAACCTCTTTTATAGACTTTAAAATCGACGATAGAAAATGATTATATGGAGTAACTCTCACGTATATGTTCCAAGAAAACCTCCTAATTCCTTATTGGAGTCTGCAGCAACACTCCGAACCTATTTCTGTGCATAAATTCACCCAGATAACCGTATATCATGCTGCCTCGTGGCCCATTCACTGCTCTACAGAACCCATGAACCTAAAAAGAGGAAAGACATATCTTGTCGGACAGATTTTCTGTAATAAAAGTCTTAACATCTAGTTATGTCTATCTTATCCTATCACATCTGAATTCAGCAGTGGCTGCATACCTCTGTAAAGACATTACTACTCCATATCTGCAATCTTCCTATAAGCCTGTTATCCTGACAGTACTCAAATACTACCTGTTGATGGAATTCGTAATGTAATTCGTGTACTGCATTTACGTTTCCGCGTTTTTGGTACAGCCTAATCTGATTGGTTGATCAAGTTAATCGCATCCGCTTATTCGGGTCGCTATAGTTTGGAGTTACCGATCCTAGGTTCGATAATCTGGTCGTGTCATGGATGCATACTTCTGAAGAGTCCCAAACAAGATCAAAACATCTGTCCGGTAGTTCCTTGTTTTCAATAGTTCTCAAACTGTAATCGGTTCGTGATCAGTCTTGCTTTGTTTGGACTTGATTCAAATATACTGAAAACTGAACTTATGGTCAAAATATAGAGAGGTTAGTAACATAGTTTTCACCGTCTTGAAATAATCAAAAATCGATCGTGGCATCATTTATTAGTTAAACGACAAGCAATAACAAGCGTAAAATAATATTCAGTGTGTCCAATTAATAGTATCTTCTGACTAACATTAGTAACTATCGAAATATTAAAACAAGATTTATTCGAAGATTAGCTAGGGATTTAGCAGTGACAACTGTCATATGCTTAGTCTTTAGTGTTGGTCATGACTGAATTTTATTGGTCAGCTTTGCAATATGATCACCAACTAAGGTAATTAGCCACCACAATTCACCGTAATTTGACGTTAGGTGGTTGAAAACAGTAGATAAGAAGCCTGTACCTAGGTTTCGTGCTTTTAACACTCGTCATGGAGAACAGTAAGAATTAAACTCATTAATGGCTATTGTCTGTGTGGAGGTCAACAACACTCAGCATCAAAAATAAGATCCGGACTTTCAACTCCAATGTGAAGTCAGTGTTACTATACGGATCAGAGACTTGAACTGCGCGTCATAAAGGGCATCTCAAACAAACTACAGACCTTCATTAACAGTTGTCTTCGCTCAATACTCAAGATCAGATGGCCAGAAAAGATCAGCAACAGGGATCTTTGGGAGCGAACCAACCAGGAACCGATTGTGAAACAAATTGGCAGGAAGAAATGGAGATGGATTGGCCATACTCTGAGGAAACCATCAAGTGACATCACTAGACAAGCCATTGCTCGAGTGGAACCCGGCCGAAAAGGAAGCGGCGAGTTGGTCGTCAGTGCAAGGGTGACTTGGAGGAGGTCATGTGGAGAGGAGATGAAAACGTGTGGGCAGACATGGAGCCAGGTGAAGACTCTAGCAGAGAACAGAACGCAATGGAGACACACGGCTGAAGCCCTATGTTCCTGTAGGAATTAAAGGATACAATAATAATAATAATCGCTATTGTCTAGTGGTTACTGTGGGCACTGTGGTAGATTATAACTCCATTATGGATAAAATTTCATTTTGATAAATCACACAGTGTTATACAGTAATATTAACTGATGACATTTCGAGCACAAACTATTTCTCATAATCAGTTGATATTAGTATATAATACAGTGTGTTTTATCAAAATAAAATCTTATTCATAATGGCGCAACAAGAATGAACCTAGATCCAGGACTTTCTGTAGATTGTTTCTGATCAACCGACGTTGACGTTTAGAAGCTGTAAAGTCTACTTATCAGTTTCGCAAGAACGATGTTAAACTTTAGGCACCACTAACTACCAATCAGCGAGTGACTTGAACACATCAATCACATGAAGGAGGCGTTTTTGGTTACGGAAAACATATATTTAGGAAAAAATGCATAAAAGCTGCGTAAAAATGTTTCATAAGATACCTTTCTGTGACATGTGGTAAAAACATCTCCCAGTTGATCATAGGAGTATCAATTGGAAAGTTACACCACATTCTATACACATATTCATCTAAATGACTATAAATGACATCCTTTTGAGATCCATTAATGGCCCTAATCCAATTTTTAACCTTCCCTGAAAGCCTTGTATAGAACTGATGTGTGTCTCTGTAATGGGATCCACAAATTCATTAGAATGGTTCACTCTGTGGTGAATATATCAAGGGGTGACAGGTACTTATAACCTTTCCACACATCCATGTGTACGATGACACCTTCTCCTCCTAATAACGAAGTAATTTTCCCCATTTTCCATGACATGATGCTTCTGCAGTGCTGGTAAAACTGAACTATTGATAGGAGACTATTATTTTCTGTTTCAGCAGCTACACCTGTCACAGGCTGTTTTAAAACCCAGTAACTACAAATATACAAAATCTGGGTTAAGAACAGGTGGGACCTGGCAAAAAATGTTCCTACGAAATATTAGAATCATAAGCTTACCGCCCTGATATTTGACTCGAATCAAGCGGAAGAGAACCTTCAACTCAAGTGGATGAAACTCATTAGGCCATTCAAGGTCATTCGCTGATTCGTGGTTAGTGGTGCTTAGAGTTTAACCTGGCTATTTGAAGTTATAAGAAAACAAAAATTAAGCACACAGTATTCAGAGAAGAAATTCTTCTCAATGAATTTAGTATCAAGCTGTACAACTGCATATATATATATATAACACTTGGATTTAGAATGAAAAGTGGAACAAGTGAAATAATACCAGAAACATTTCGGAGTAAGAACAGTAATAATAATAACCATAATGAGGGGAAGGTACATAGAATAACTAAATTTTTTTAAAATATAAACAAATAAATGTTTATCCCTTTACTCTAAGGCAGAAATAGGGATTGAACACACTTCTTTCGTACACAAAGGTCTGTATTAAATTCATGAACGGCCAAGGCCTCCTCTGTCTTTAGAAATTTAGAAAGAAGTCACCGTGACAAGTTGGCATGATTTAGATAGATAATTTTAAATCATGGTTAGGGTTGCTAGAAGGACAGAAATTGATTAGGTGTTGTAGAGTAGAGCTTTGCACACCCTTCCTTTCTTCTTTGCATTATCATGTTGGAATACGTTCTCGTATCTGCGTTTTTGAATTCTATCTTATCTTATGTAACGTTTCATATTTGCCTATTAATCTTATAATATATACCCTTTTCCAACACCCATGCATCCCATGAACTGTTTTGTATACATGATATTATTTGTTTTGCCACTTGATATTTGACTATGATTATAGTCACAAACATTTTCCTTCCATTTCATATTATTATTAGTTTATGTCTTCACACCTTCTTTTAAATTTCCTCAGGGGAAATAATTTCTTAGAAAGCCGTATGTATATATATATATATATAGTTGCACAGCTGGATAATAAATTCATTGAGAATTTCTTCTCTGAATATTATGTTCGCAATGTTACAATATGAATTATCAAATTATTGGAAAAAAAACAGAAATTACCGTTATTTCTTTGCTAGTGTTTGCTTAGAGGAAATATTTACGTTTTAGACAACAAGAAATTCGAACGAAATAGTTTTTGAGCACTTCATACTCTTGAGTGTATTCCAAATCCATCAAATATTACTTTCCGATGACCCTTACATTATGGTATCGTCTAGGAGTATTGAAAATCATGGACTTGACTGTGATTTTGTTCTGTTTTGTGACTTGCTGGCAGCGAGAACTCCTGTCTCTCATCTGAATCGAGCTTTGGACTGACAAGTCCCACAGTGACTGAAATCTAACACCCTAGATTCTTCGAATTCTGACATTTCACTTGCCTGACACATGTTGAAATGTTTCAGACATGAGTAACATTTCAACATCAAGTCACCCAGGGGGGAAAGCGAAAACTGTCTTGGAATCTTTAGGCATAGTACCATAACAAGAGCTAGTGGGATTTTAGTTTTTAACAAAAAGGATACCGGGAACGCCCATCTGACACATTAATAATCCCTTATTTCCCGGGTTATTACTTATGCACATGACTTAGTACCTTAACTTTTTTCGATAATGTATTGTATGAATGATAAACAGCCGATTGTCTTTTTAACTTATCATTTTCCATTTATTTGATACCATTTATAACAGCCTCAGTATGTCTTATCAAAACTTCCATTTTTGAGTTCCATTGTGGATGCTTCTAGTCAAAATAAACAGTTATTGACAAGTAGACGACGTAAAGAAGTAAGTGTGGATAGCGTGTTATTGATAGTAATAATAATAATAATAATATCATTGATAATAATATGAATGATGAATTTTGTTTTTAAAAATTCATAACAGGTATTTAACTGTTACAATTTTTATTTTATTTTTTTAAATTTTGATTTACAGCTTGATTCCACACCGTATTTTCAGTACAAGTATGGAATTTTCAGCATGGATATCGGTAGCACAAATTTGCAGGCCGACCATTGATATCGGGTGTGCGCCGGCAGGGGATCGAACCCGGGACCATGTGCATGGTCGGCGAGAGTCCTAACCACTGTGCCACCGACAGTATCTGGTTGATCTAAGATTTACAGAAGACTATTTGACAGCCTCTAGAAGCAGAATGTGCAACACTGTTTTCATCCTTTGTTTGAAACTCCTCGGATAGTGAAGATTCCTGAGTTTCAAGGAATGATAATGTAATTACTGACCGCCACTTTAAACAGAAGAGATTTATCTAGGAAACTCAGAATTCTTGAATGCTTTGAAAACGACTAATTTTTTTCTGCTTTTGAGAAATTGAACCATGGTTTTCTAATATATTCGCTAAGTGTAGACACAAATGCTGGATTAACAATAATGAATGTCCGATAGTTTCTCAATAGATTTCACTGGCGTTAACTGGTTTGTGAGAAAACTTACATAATTAGAATTGGACAGGCATACCAATAGAGTGAGCAAGAGACTGTTTAGTAATAATAATTACAATAGTAATAATCATAATGATGAAGTATTATGAGAACTGTTCATACAAAAACATAGACCGTATAGTGGTCGTCAGTCAAAATAGTCAAATCTGATTAGATATTTGTCTGACTATGAGATAGGTAGTCAGCATTTTTAGCATATGAATTCTGACTGGCAGGCTGGGGAGTTAGTCTATAGTTACTTATAAGAGTTTAAATTTTAGTATGAATACTGAAAATCACTAGGAAAGAAGGAACTTATATCCTCGGTTCTATAATTTGAAGTTCAAGCAGCCCATGTGCTAAAACAAATTGACAGTTGAATGTAAGAAAATTTACAAAATCTAACAATAAATCTCGTAACCCGAAGTTTGTGGGTTGAAGTTAAATCACGTGCCGAAGTGACATCAGTTAAGAATAATGAATACACTGATGAACTACAAGCTGTTTTTGTCCATCTAGTCATAGTTCTTTTCTGATGACTGAAATGAAGTATTTTAGGATTTATGAGAATTCAGCAGCAAAGCGATTTTATCATTTATGTTTTTAACGTCATCATATAACGCAAGTTGGAAATCATGATCAGTCAGCATGAGCAATTAACAGAAAACTTCGTGTAGTGAACGGATCATGAATAGCTTTCAGTGTGTCTGTGTTCACTTGTTTTTCCATCACCAGTAATCACCACATCTAATCACTTTCCTAGATTTAGAAATAATTCGGTTATCGAAACGTATTTCAAAATTGTTATGTAATCATCATCACTTTTCTATAGAGTCTGAAAACTATATGCCCTTTCATACATTTAATCCCCCAATGAATTTGAATAAAGCAAGGACAACAGTTTTTGCAGAATAAAATGTTACTATCATTTACCTCGTCGGCTTCTCATCAGCCGCTTACAGCCCAAAGTCATTATTAAGTATATATGCAGAAACAATTTTAACATACTTGCACAGAGTTCATCTTTGAACAAAAGTCGACCAATATATGCATACAATGATAATATATATAATAGTGAACACTTTATCCCAAAAACTAATGATCATACATATTGGAAACTTTTGATATTATGTTATCAGATGAAAGAGAGGGTGAAAATATCTAGTTACCAAGATAAGGAAAGACTGATAACCGCTTCTCTCTGAATGCATAAATCGGGTTTCAGGCGCTTGATAGAGATTGCTTCAGTAAACTTAGGGAGAATTGAACTATTTTGCCTATAGATAATTTTGAAGTAAAAAGTGTGGGTGACTTGACATGTTTATGAGCAATAATTTGTGTTCGAAACGTCATCAGTTAATATTACTGTACAACACTGTGATTACTCAAAATAAAATCTTATCTATAATTTTGAACGACCTTGTGACGTCCACCTCATGACCTCTGTCAAGAAGATGAATGGCAATGGCCCTGTTTAAAGCATTTGTTCCCTTTAGACATAGGCTTTTTGGTACATGTTCAGAAAATCGGTGGTATGCGCTTCTTTCTGTTCTTTCAATGTAACTGCTCCTGTAGATACATGTAAATTTGTCTATGCAGTTAACATGAGAAGTATGTCTTTCGACTTTCGATTGCACAAAAGAGCAAGTTGTTCGATAGATGGGAACCAGCTTAGCTGCAGGATAGGCTGTGGCTAGTGAAGTCCCCACCTTTTTGTTGACAATTAGTGTAATATTTTCACCTTTAAAATCAAGTTGAATGAAGATGGGCTTTTTCCCCACCGTGATCTGCTTGACATTTGCTGACTTAGCGGTTGATCTGTCGCTTGGTTCCTGATAGATTTACTATGCAAAACTTTAAAGTATCAGTCTATGACAAGAAATACCTATTACATTTTAGTTTCTTGTACTCCTTTAACTCATATCGGTTTCTGACGAAACCTTTTTAAAATCAAACTACTATACTAAGAAAGCTAGACTAAAAGGTTTACGAAAAACGTTTTGGTATGTAGTTACACATTAAATATTATATGCAAATGATACTGGTTACTTATTTAGAAAGAGTTAAGACATTATTTGAATTATAGCACACTGCGTGTAGTCGTATTTTGTTAATACGTCAAACATTTAAATCTAAACAGAAACCTCTATCAATCACAGCTTCGTGATTCACTATCGATTTTTATTTCAGCACAGGTTTAAATTTAAGTATATGTTGATCAGAGTGAATTTCATAATTATTTATTTTACGAATATATTATACTGTATTTGATTCTTAAACTATTTCACCTGATTATTTAGGGACTACAATAGACTATAGTGTTCGAAACCAAATTTTGTGGTGTAATAGTATGTCGTCTGACTTAAATCAGTCTAAATCTTGCGAAGCTACGGCTCGTTGTTCAGGACACTCCAGCCACAAAGTAGCAGGTTCATACCTTCTCCCACCTACCAAGGTTCGTTCTGCCGGGTAGTTCATTAGTCCTCACGCAATAGGTGTGACCCAACTGCATGGAAATGCATATAGCTGTTGAGTAAAACTGTCATTTTCACTTACTTTAAATCTTCTATCCACACTGGTTAAATAACATCTTGCTGTGTTTCTTTTCCAGCCAGTATTATATTATTAATCATCGTCATCATCATCAGTGTTCTTTAAACAGAGGATTTCATGTTGATAAGAAGAATATGAAGTAATCAACTCAGCCTGTGCTGGTTTGTAATGATTTCTCCCCTTAGGCATAATGATCTCGAAATGCATATACCACTAGCCATTGAGAATTGATTGTCTGTGTAATTATAATATGGTATTACGTTGGAGGAGAATGACTAATATGATCTAATCACCTGAGTGTTTATTAATATGATAATTTCATAATGAAAAGTCGAAGCTGATGTGGATAAACTTGTTGGGTGTGAAGTGTGTGCACATCGACAGAACTAGTTGGCAATGGAGCTATATCACCAATTGACAAAAGTTAGAATTCACAGATCATTGAACTGCGTCCCAAGTGACTGAATGGTCAACGTGTACACGTAGTAAATTGAAGGTCACAGGTTTGATCTTTGATGAGGAAAAGTGCTGACAAGTACTCAGTTAAGAAAAGGCAATTTTTCAGTGTCTTCCTGGTTTTCAGTGATTCCCTAACTCATGTCAGTTCATGAACAAATCTACACTGAAATTAATAAACTCAAATAACATTAAGATTGATTACTGAGTAAACTAATTATAGTAACAACATAGTTGAGTGTACTTCAGGTAACGCTATGATAAATAATCTTGTGATACAACTATTTTTGGAGTAAAAAGAAAATTTATTTATGATTAAGTTACCTATACTGACTTGCTTCATTTCATGATATTTTTGGAATGTTATATTAAACAGTTTCTTATAAAATGATAGACTGGTAACGCATTGCATTGATTAAGTGACTTGACTGATTGATGATTGGCGAATAAATAATTTGATATGAAAGAATCCTACTAATATACAGACTGTAGTACAGTAAGTGGAATAGCTTAGCAATGCGGGGGAGAACTGAAGTGTAATTCATCTTTGTGGATAACCACCTACTGTGTAATACAGCAGTTTTTCTCTCTGTCAACGACGCTTAACTATGAGAGTCAGTACAAAAACTTCAATAAAAACTGAAGTCCCATTGATGCTTTTTTATGCTGTTTTACTTAATTGATTGAATGTTCATTGACAATCAAGTCGCTGTTTGAACTCAGTTACCAGGAATTTATCTTTTATATACCAGGATATGAGCCACATAATTATTTTGTGAGAGCTAACCATACCATCCAAACCACCTTGGCTGAAGCAAGTGGAGTGATATTAGAACCAGAGATCCACTGATTGAAAGTAGGGTGCTTATACCAGTGAGCTACACCTAAACCTAGTAACTACTTTTTCTATACATGATAGAAAAAATGTTATTCAAACTAGAAAATAAATAATAGAACTAGCAACTTTCAATTAGATCATGAGTTGAAATAAGCTACAGAATAATTAATAATAACCGGAGAGTACTAGATGGCTGTTTCTCCCTAATTTGGGACTCCTCAGTAATACAAACCAATGACTCCACCTCCAGAGATATAACTAAGGACCTCAAGGCTGCAAAGTGAGCCAGGTTACTGTCCAGTCACTGAGACAGCATCTAATGGTACATGAATCCTAACTTTTCAGAATGAACAGCAAAAAACTAGGACAAAAAAGCTGTCCACTACTCCCTGGATTTCAGTGGTTCTCTAAAGGATGTCATTTCATGATCTCACTTGAAACCAGTCGAAATCCCGCGAACTAAAACTTGTAACTTAAGTTACATTCTGACTGTTCACTAGTATTATAGAATTAAATGTAGATACTGATCAGACTGATATCAGTAGAGCAGAGTGAAAGTTCGTAATGCTTAACCATTATAGATTCTGGCAGCACTGTTAACATAAACAGTCTTGAAGTGATTCGTATCCGCAAATAATGTATTTCTAGGTGAACTGCTTCATACTATGCATTGTTTTAAAATATTCACTAAAATTTCATAAAATCAATGTGAACACTGAATTTTGTTGCTTGTTTTATGCTCTAGGAAGGTTTACAAAAGATATTTAAACAAATCCCACCGATTGGTGATTTACACACTCTTTCAAGTCATTTACAGGAATCTAAGAAACGAATCAGGTTAGTTTTCGTGTCGGTATTTTGTTTTATATTATATTGTTACTCATCCCTAACATTTCAGATGGAGCATATGGCTTCAACGCCACGTTTTTATTCCACTCAGCTATGTACCATCCAATTTAGCTGGCTGCACAACTGTCCACACGCTTTTATTTCCTCCTCACATGATCTCCATGTTATCCTGAGATACCCAAGTCACAGCTTCCCACTCAGACCCCATTCGAAGACCTTGTGTGTAATGCTACGTATGTATAATGCATCCACATTTCTTTCTGTATATTTGTTGATTGGGCACCAGGTTCATGGTTGTTTCGCTTCCAGAGTTGTTGGTCAAGAGCATACAACCTGTTTGAAATGATTTTGTTGTTGAGAGCGCCAGGTTTCTGAACCAATTTGAATCACTGACTGACATGGCATTAGCGTTAGAAGTTCGGATGTTGGATTCCCGAAGTGACTTCAGAATAATGAACACCTGTCTTGCTTTTGTGCTCCTGGCTTTGACGGCCTCATCCATGATGCCTGGAGTTGAAACGATGGTTCCAAGCCAGTGATAGAGATGATTTCTTTTAGCCTTCTTCCAGTGATTGTGATTGGTGCTTATTATTGTTGGTTGGGTATCTACATCATTTTTCTGTTCTCTTTGTTCACCTAAAGTTCAGTTGTCGCTACCGAGAATTTGTTTTAAACAATACTTAATACAAATACAGTTAAAATCAGTTTGTACAACAGACGACAATGACTAATTTACTATGAAATACGTGTAAGTGTTCGTACACATCAATGTGTATAAGCAGAAGAGGTAAGACGAGGCTCTGAAACACTGTGAAATTCAGCAAAAAGAGATTAGTTATTTCGGAGTAAGAGAGCATAAAGGTGGCTACAACGAAGAAAAAAAATTGTATTCAACGAAGCCATTCACTAGACTTTATATTCGTAATTATATATAACAAAGGGATGAAAAAATCCCAGAACTATTTTTTACCAGGAGTCAAAATATGGAGAATAACAAGATGAAGTTACAAATTACAAATAGGCATGAATATAACAAAATAAATATGATTAAATAATAATGATTTCCCTGTGAAAATGACTGATATTGATGGCTATGACATAGATTGTTGAATGTCCTTCTTTTGGTTGTATAGCATTGGGTTGATTTTTCGGATCGCTAATCCTTCAGTTACTCTCAGATTTTTTGATCTGTCTACCTATCGAAAGGTTTGATCGAATCTTGTATCAAAGCCAAGGAAAAAGGAAACTTTGTTGGCAACTATGCGTCATTGGTGATCGTAGCCTCCAAGAAGGTGTATTGATAGACAGTATACTTCCTATAGCGTAGAGAAGCTTATAAATAAGTTATAATGTTGAGGAAACGTCTCACTATCTAGTTTGTTTTGGATAACTAAGATGAATTATGATGAAAACTTGTAAAATTCAAATGGTGGATATAAATCAGTTCGCTGTTGCTGATTTATTTTCCCTTGTCAAGGGTAAATGTGGTTTTGATTGTCTCATTTAGTTGTTTTATTGATACTCTTTAACAAATAACATTTAAATATGTTCCAAGATTGTCATTTATACTTTGAGAATAAAGTCGGGGTCGGAGTAGCTCATGTCAAATAGGCTGAACGTTAAAACAACGCAGATTTTGTCTATCCACTTGAGTCAGTTAATGATGTATACAATGAAATCAAGTGTTAAAGTGAGTAGCCTTTTAATTACTCATGGAAGTCAACAGGCAGTATATGCTTTACAGTATTTGCCCTTGAAATTTTCCACTGCCCATGATATTCGGCATTTCCTTTATTGCGATCGGAATCCCCTTTGTGTGAACCAGTCTAATTTCTTCGTCACTTAATTTAACAGCTGGCCATACTATGAGGAAACCATCAAGTGACATCACTAGACAAGCCATTGCTCGAGTGGAACCCGGTCGAAAAGGAAGCGGCGAGTTGGTCGTCAGTGCAAGGGTGACTTCTTCTGTTATCATGTTAAAATTACTAATAAATTTAATGAAAAAACATGTTTATTATTGAAAATAATGTAATTTTTATTATCACTACAAAGCTTTCTTTGTGATCAGTGGTTGGAGATAATGCGTTTTAGTTTGGGCCTTCAGCGATATCGTATCCCATCACCTACAAGTTCACGTCATCTTCTTCGATATAAAGTAAGTTTTATGTCAAGGAGAATAACATTACATGATGAATTTCTCTTTACAAGTTGATTTTATTTAATACAGCCAACAACTTTCTGGAGCCACATGTTGTACTTACACTACAGCCAAATTTTGTTTATCATTTTTAAGAGGGTCAGTTATCATTGCCTTCGTGAATGACAAATTACTTAGCTTTGCGACCTTTATGCACACTTACAAAATTAGCTTTTCCTGTGGAGAGAGGAATATGAGGCGAGAAACATGGCAGTTTAACAAACACATTGCTGGGTACCTTCGATTGTGATTCAGAAGAGGTCAAACAAAATCTGTGAGAAGATTGATTTTTTGGTTTTGATCTGATGCTCACTAGCGACTGGCCTTATTCAAGCAGTGATCTGAGGTTCTAGTGGGAAGCCATAACCAGCAGGATACAGGACGCTGAAGGTGAGGACAGTTACTCATCGAAGAAGACATTGAGAAGTGGTCTCGCTATGTCGTGAGTTGGCAGGAGTTAGAATTCATGGGCCATTGGATCAAGTGCTAGTGGCTTAATGGTCTACGAGCTCACTTTTTAACCAGAAGATACTGGATTCAAACCCCGCAGTGTGGGTTCGTACCGATGAAGAGTTCCGAACTAGGACGAGACAGCTGTCCAGCACTTCCAGGTTTTCCAATGGTTCTCTAACCGATGTCAGCTCATGATGAAACCCTCCAACCAAGATTGATTTTGTCACATTTTGTAGATACTGGTAACTAAGTGGATAGAAAAAGACCTCTTATAATTACTTATCGCACTCTTTCAAACCCTTCTAACTCATCTTTTACACCTAGCTGAGGCGACGATAATTCAGGAGAGTAAATAAACCGAGTTTTGCATTCAGAATAAGTTTGTCTCTCTCTGTATTGGCCCAAGTAAATCTGAAAAAGTGATTACATATAACTACTTACATACACTTCGAGCACAATTAATGGCTCATAACCAAATTAGTGTATTCATATGACTTCCCAGATTGTTTTGTACATTATCGCTTCTTCCCGTTTTCAATAAAATTTTCCATAAGTCGGATTGGTGTTGAGTTATTTCTATTACATGTGTTTTAGCTTTTGATTAGGTGAACAGAGATTCGGTTATTAAACTATTTCTCTTCGCCCAGCAGCATTACTTTTCAATACTTTTACTGTCTCCTATTCTATCATGGGGTTTTGTGTAAGTGCACATACAGCAATGGCTGAGTTTTTTCTAGACTAATTAACTTCGCTGAGTCTGTGGTTCTAGATCTAACTGAATTCATGTGTCATGATAACCTAAATGATCTCAATTTACTCGTTTGACCCACGTATTTGACTCTACACTCATTGCATAGTGTTCGGTAAATTATTTTGTCTAACTGGGTTAATGGGATCCTCAAGCTGAGTGAATTCTTACGATTAAACGCCACTCTGGTTCCTGCCTTCAAAAGTGATAAAAGTGCTCAAGTAAGTTGGACCTTTAGCTAGGCGTTGGGTGAGCACTATTAAATTAGGACAATACAGTTTCCTATTGTCTTACGGTTATCAGTAGTTCTCTATGTGACATCGCTTTGTGACATAATCTATCCTGTAAGTTGTTTCTTTGAATAAAAAAGTTAATTATCTCCACTCAATCAATTTTTTTCAGAGTATGGATCGTATTACAAAAAGATTTAAAACATTCACAAATATGTCAGGTTCTTTTCAAAACAATGACGAAAATGATTCAAAACCATCCAACAAAAGTAATACACCAGATGTCAATAATCAATTAAATACTGGAAAAAAGCCAATAAAATCGATAGATTTTCACTCTGAAAGAAATGACAATAGACGCGATACAATTCATAATAATGAATTGAACAAGAAGTAAGTTTTATGAAAGTTTCCCCCTTAAAATGTCGTTATTTATATACGCACTATTGTACAAGGGACTGGTAATCAGTGGTTAATTTTTGGTAGTGATTTGTTATCTTACCACGGACGTCTCGTTATTACACTAGAAAATTTAATCAGTACAGTCTGCATTAAAAACATGAATTTTTTCAGTTACAATAAATGTCTATCTACACTTTTAATAAGCTAAGAATAATTTCGTGTCACATGGTAAATAACCGGAAGCCGGAGTTCATGTGTCATTGTACACGTGTTACGCCTGACAAGCCATCACCTCCATCGTTGAGCAGTGTTAAATGACATAAGACTAGGTTGAGAAAGAGTTAAGGTCAGTCAAATCGCAACCTGGCATTAATCCATGAAGTCTTTGACTGTTGATTTGAGCCAAATAATGAGATGTAAACTGCCTGACTGGGGTCATTGACACGTTAAGAATCAATGGCTTGTAAGTGCTGGCGAGATTGCTCTAAATAATTCTCAACAGCACAGATGCATTCACCCTTTGTGATCTCCCAGATCCAGTAAATCTACATAGTTCGCAATGGAATGATTGCTTCTCAACCATATTTTTGATCATTATAATTCTTTTGAATTTCCTTTCCTCTCTAACGGTGTCTGGCTTGCGAATTATGTCAATTTATATCGCTACACTGAAAGTTCATTTCAGCTCCAGCCTCGTGGTTGAATGATAGATGTACTCAGGTTTTATATAATAGAGCTCCTAGGTAAACTTCCCTGAACAGTCCTAAATGAGGAAAAAAAGCTGTCGAGGATTCCCCAGTTTCAAGTGGTTTACTACCTAAAGTCATTTTTTGATCAAAAAAATCCCCGCTACGCAACACTTGAAAATGATATTGATATTTCTTGGAAAAACCTCATCAGATTTAAATGTTTTCAGTAAAAAACTGTCTTTACACACAACTTGATGAATCTCAGAAATTACAGTTTTGCATTAAAATAGTCTTTACATACAATTTTGTAAGTCATATTCACTTCTTCGTTCATAAACCCCAAACTATTGGTTTGTTTAGGGCATTTCATCTGCTGATTGGTCAATACATTACATTACACTAACTTCAAATTGATGATACAATCAGCTGGATGCATTATGGTAAAGGATTGCTTGTTGCTTCACTTTTGCAACGCCTTGTTTCACCTAATTTGTGTTTTAGCATTAGTTTAATCTGAACTGGTGTGAAGATGGCGTCAATACTTCGATGTCTGTTGCTTTCTGTTTCCTTTAATTAGTCTATGAAGTAGTCCAGTGAATCAATACCTGGTTATAACAATACTAAATAACAATAAACAGACAAACTTTAACCATAGACACCCAGGAGACACGGACGCACCAATCACCTTGGAACTAGCAATTGTGCTAGAAAGGAAATTTCGGCCCCTAACTGAAGCCTAGGCTTAATCCTTCCTTAATGTAGATCTAATTTATCTCCAACCTAACCTTCATCCTAATCTGTGTCCAACTTAACCCTAATATTTCTCTTATTTGGTTAACCTGTCCCTAGACGGACCTAACCTTAGTCTTCCCCTGCCTAACCCTAGCCAGATATCCAGTTCAATATAAATTCATTCAACACATTCATTTCATGAATGTAGTGTTATTTACCTGGTTTCAATGCTTTGCTCTGACTTAGTGTCCCAAAGTCATTGGTGAGTTCTTGCTTATTAAGTGACTGAAATTTAACTTCATCAATAAACAGCCGAAATGAATACCGAATACAACTTTTCTACCTCAAAACTATCTTGAGCTTCACTAAGCCACGGATATATCTAAATACAACACTCATATAATTCTTTATTTGTATTTTGTTCTAATTAATGGTGATTGATTACTGAATTGTCTTTAAAATTGAAGTTATGAGAGCTACAGAAACTTTTAGTAGTAATACACAGAAAAAAGTGATCAATTAACACGGCTACTTTATTCGTTGCCATTAAACACACAGACACAAAGAATGCATGCTGAGTAAATACCAACAGAAATAATGATAAACTGTACAATGTTTATAATTATACCATTTAATTTATGAGTGGATTTGTAATATGCCCTAACAACAACGCCTATTGTAGCGTTACTGTGTTTACGTAATGACATAAGTAGTATATATTTGATAGATATAAAACTATGAATTGGAAAATGTCTTACGAGGCATTTGTTTAGACGGCTTCAGAGTTCCTTCTAGTCTACTACAGTAAATTTTGCTTCATAGTCATATCTAAGCTTCAGGCTTCAAAACTAAACATATAAAGTTGTATTTTCATGATTTTGATATACATAAGTATAATTTTCTCAGCATCGCTATCGTAAGGTAAGATTAGAAGTGAATTGTACTCCACGCAGACGAATAGCAGCCATAGCCAGGCAGATTTGTTTTACCACACCGAAGTCAGTCAGTACTACCATTTGTAGATGCATGTTGTTCTGTACAAGTCAGTTGATTCAGGTGTACAAAACTATTTGCAAATCAGTTGTATCTTCATGTTGGGTCATGGATACTGCTTGTATAGGATGTTATACAGCTTCCTGACGTGGTGACACGGGAGTTTTTAATGATGTTGAGTTATTACGAGCCAACAGCTTGCAGGATGATATGGTCTATGTAAGTAAGTGGCTTCAAGTCCTGTTTAATTTTAGTCTTACATTTCAGAGTTCTACTTTAATGCCTTTTAAAAGCTCTAAATATTATTATTGTTATTATATGGAGATCGATTACTCCTTATAAGTTTGAATACAACTAAAGCAACGGTTTTTTCAGAATAAAATGATTTCACTTTATTTCGTCAGTCTCTTATAGTCTTGTCTTACCTTTAAGATAATCAATAGACAGTATAATTGAGTTCTCCTCAAGTTTGCAAACAATAACTATCATTTGTTGCAAACCCAGTTAATGTGTTCAGAAAGAAGCCGTTGTAGGTCTTTCCTTGCTACGGTGACTCGATATTTCTGACGTAATAGGCCATGTATAGTAGCATAAAATCATGAAAATACAACTTTATATGTTTAGTTTTGAAGCCTGAAGCTTAGATATGACTATGAAGCAAAATTTACTGTAGCAGACTAGAAGGAACTCTGAAGCCGTCTAAACAAATGCCTCGTAAGACATTTTCCAATTCATAGTTTTATATCTATCAAATATATACTACTTATGTCATTACGTAAACACAGTAACGCTACAATAGGCGTTGTTGTTAGGGCATATTACAAATCCACTCATAAATTAAATGGTATAATTATAAACATTGTACAGTTTATCATTATTTCTGTTGGTATTTACTCAGCATGCATTCTTTGTGTCTGTGTGTTTAATGGCAACGAATAAAGTAGCCGTGTTAATTGATCACTTTTTTCTGTGTATTACTACTAAAAGTTTCTGTAGCTCTCATAACTTCAATTTTAAAGACAATTCAGTAATCAATCACCATTAATTAGAACAAAATACAAATAAAGAATTATATGAGTGTTGTATTTAGATATATCCGTGGCTTAGTGAAGCTCAAGATAGTTTTGAGGTAGAAAAGTTGTATTCGGTATTCATTTCGGCTGTTTATTGATGAAGTTAAATTTCAGTCACTTAATAAGCAAGAACTCACCAATGACTTTGGGACACTAAGTCAGAGCAAAGCATTGAAACCAGGTAAATAACATTACATTCATGAAATGAATGTGTTGAATGAATTTATATTGAACTGGATATCTGGCTAGGGTTAGGCAGGGGAAGACTAAGGTTAGGTCCGTCTAGGGACAGGTTAACCAAATAAGAGAAATATTAGGGTTAAGTTGGACACAGATTAGGATGAAGGTTAGGTTGGAGATAAATTAGATCTACATTAAGGAAGGATTAAGCCTAGGCTTCAGTTAGGGGCCGAAATTTCCTTTCTAGCACAATTGCTAGTTCCAAGGTGATTGGTGCGTCCGTGTCTCCTGGGTGTCTATGGTTAAAGTTTGTCTGTTTATTGTTATTTAGTATTGTTATAACCAGGTATTGATTCACTGGACTACTTCATAGACTAATTAAAGGAAACAGAAAGCAACAGACATCGAAGTATTGACGCCATCTTCACACCAGTTCAGATTAAACTAATGCTAAAACACAAATTAGGTGAAACAAGGCGTTGCAAAAGTGAAGCAACAAGCAATCCTTTACCATAATGCATCCAGCTGATTGTATCATCAATTTGAAGTTAGTGTAATGTAATGTATTGACCAATCAGCAGATGAAATGCCCTAAACAAACCAATAGTTTGGGGTTTATGAACGAAGAAGTGAATATGACTTACAAAATTGTATGTAAAGACTATTTTAATGCAAAACTGTAATTTCTGAGATTCATCAAGTTGGGTGCAATTTACTCAGTTCTACGTGGACTTTCATCACGGTTTCATTTAGAAACCAAAATTAATTCAATTGGAATATTTACTCTGCTCGTTACCATAAATAGCAATCAAGAAAGTAAGGCTAATTGCATGAAACTATTTACTACTGATTGATTGAGATGAGTAGTAGTACACCACTCAGTGGTTAGGACTCTCGCCGACCATGTACATGGTCCGGGGTTCGATCCCCTGCCGACGCACACCCGATATCTATGGTCGGCCTGTAAATTGGGGCTACCGATATCCATGCTGAAAATTCCATACTTGTACTGAAAATACGGTGTGGTATTAAGCTGTAATAAAATATAAAAAAATAAAAAAAAATAAAGTTATTACTTTTTAGGTAATGGAGAATATTTATAGCTCCAGTGTATCATTTCGGTGTTGTTGAATGAAGGAAATTAAGCAAGGAAATTGTGATGAAATTTAGCCCGAAACTGTGTAATTTGCAAATCGTAAATTTGGTTCCCCGTGAATTTTTTCAACACTGATTGATTTTCAGCTTAATACTTGAGTAATTCGACTTCATGACGACATAATATCAAAAAGATCACTAAAAGTCAAGTAGGCTATATCAATTGTCTCTGTGCCACATTGAGACTTTCGCAGAGATACATCCGCATACTGGTAAGTAGTCCCTTCCAGGACTAAAAGTTCACCAGGTTGATGCCAGTTTGTAAAAAATCAAATCAAAAATTAACACATTTCACTATTTACTCATTCATGTAAAATTAACTAAATAACCCAATGAAAATTTGTTTGCAGACCAACAGTAGAAAAGGATGACAAGCTTTCAGAAGAAGAACTGCCAGTTGTTGAATCGAAACTCATGAGATCGTTAACCACAGTGGACACAAGTTATTCAATTGCAAAAGAAGCAAATATTTTTCCAGTCGCCTGTCCAGTACTACTTCGACTGTGGTTAGATGAAATAAAGAAGGATAAATATTTTAAATATTTGAAAAAAACTGAACAAATTATCAATAAGATCCCATTGAAATCCAGTTGTTGCTTAGATAATGATTCAAAGCTATTGACAAAAGCATTTATGGAAGTTTTGTATACACCGTCAAAATTTAGTGATAGTCTGTTATCAAATTTGGCGACAATATCAAGTAGAGGTTGTCGTTGTAGTCGACAAATACCACCGGATATAACAGATTTAGAATTTGAATTATTCTTGAATAAACTGTTACCATCATATCAAGCCGCAGTGATTATGGTGTATGATTCCCGGTAAGATATTTACAGTAATTTCTTTTTTTTAATCAGTGAGAATATGAAATATGCGTTGACATAAATTAACTTTTTTTCAACTAACGTAAGCCTTTTTGAAAACTGAGTAAATATTCATTCAAGCTGACTTTACAAAAGTATATTTTGACACTGAATAGTTCAAATTAAAGTTTGCTGAATGTTCAAGGAGAAGAGAAAACAACAGAAAGACAGAGAAGAAACAACAATAGTTTATGTCCTTCCTTGATAATTTGGAACTATTAGTAGATTTAGATTTCAGTCTGATCTGTGAATGCATAGAAGAATTGAAAATAACCGGTTACAAGGATTTAGGTGAAATGTAACTTGAATGGATTCAAAGGTTACTCTAGTAATTATAACTATCACAACATGTCGAGTTAAATCACGAAGTGACGTCACTTAACGAACCATTGAAAATTACAGAGTACTGAACAGCTATTTCGGCCCAGCATGTGGCTCTTCCGCCGCACGGACGTGATCCCACTGTTAGGGATAGATTCTATAACCTTCAGGTTACGAGGCCAACCCGTTGACCATTCAGCCACCAGGTTGTAATTCAATGGCTCGTGAATTGTAAATTCAGCTATTTTGCAATATTTAGCGCCACTGTCAGCAGCGATTATCTATGCGCACACCCGACTTCATGGCTGTTAGATAGTATGGATGTATGTTAATATATATAATCTTGAAAGCATAGGTAAAATAAACTTACTGAGCTTTTGAATTTTTAAGGTGATAGTGGTACAGTGGTACACAACTTATGATTAGGAACTTCGAGACATTTACGATTTAAATTCCCTAAACTTGGAAGAGAAATTACTCCTTAGCAAAAAGCATAACATATGCTCAGCAAGGGAACGCAGAATATCTCACAGGAAACTAGTGAACAGTGTATATCAAGGCTTCCACACCTAATATCTGAACACCAAATATAGAAGACTAATAAGTGGGGAGTCATACAGTGAAATATCGTATTCTTTATTAGATGAAAGAAGTTAAGCATAACGCAGAATAGACAAAGCTAAAGGAAAAGAATTTACGTATTTTGAACCATATTTTTAAAACACTATAGAGGTAAATAACATTACTAGATATTTCTGTATATTTATCTATATTTAGATTACCTAATGCTATGACAGTGGGAACATGTGACCTCCTACGGCAGTTATATATAAGGCAACAGTATACTATACCAACTCTTCAGCATACATTCCCTGGTAAAAGCCATGTACAAAGTGCACGTGCCAAAATACCAAGAAGGTTGTACAGTGGATGGAAAGTTACAGGTACTGGAGCCTGTGCATCAGTGTCTACAAAAGCTGCAGATTACCGGTTTATGTGTTATAATCTAGCTCAGAATATGAATAATAATAATGAAGAAGTCTCTTATCATGGAGAGCAACCACTACTGTTAAGAAGATATCATGGACGACCAAAACCTGGTGATTGTCTAATATTTATTAAAGAGAAACTCTGTTTTATCGGTTCATCGTTTACAGGCTATGAAGAATTACCTTGGACTAAAGAGCAGTTGGACAGAAAAGTGTTTGAATGCAGAAACAAGTTGATTTCTCATGGGTTCTTTTTACCACCTAATTTTCATTTAGTTTAACAACAAAGAAAAAAAAAGGATGTAATAAAAATGATTTTAAGAAAATTATGACTTTAATTAAGGCTGAAACGCCCTTTGAAATAATGAATTTAAAATGTTAATTACTCTGGTTAAGAAGTACTGCTGACAGTTCTTTTTTATCTCTGAAACAGTGGCAAACTAGATGTATATTCTCGACAAGTCTGAGTAATCGGTACAGACAACGAAACATGACATGACGTTTCATGTAACAGGCAATGGGCTGTACATATGTTCTGAGGAATGATGATACCATCCAGTGAGATTCTTCGAATTCATAGCCAATTAGCTGAAAGCCGAATACTTAAAGCAATGACCTGCGTCTCCAGTCATTTGGCATAATTATTTCTCCCTCAAACAGTGTAATGTTACCACGTGAATGCTATCGCCTAATTACAGAAGAATCCATTGGTGATGGAACTATGATACTCAATTTGCTGAATTCAATTGTTTTGACGACTATACTCAATAGTTCTAACTGAAAATATAGTTTTCTTGTCAAGTGTTGGGATGAATCAGTCGCTAAGACGCCTTGGACTTAAACATCACGCTTATTAGAGCTCATCAGTAGAGCTACTGGAACATTTAGGAAACTCACGTCCATTCCTAGATTTGAATGTGTCATCCAATGTCAAATCACAGACTCAACCACCAAGCTATTCGTAATGTGACTGATTGATATAAGTGAACTGATTTTAGCTGCCTAAACCTGATTTTGTTGATTCACAACCATCGATTCGATAAGCAGTGTAGTACTCACTGAGATAAATGCCCTATAATTTGATATTACATGTGACACCTGCACACACTGAACGTCTTATAGTTGCTAACTTAAGCGCTTCTCAAGTTTGTATGATCATATAGAGAATATTAATCACAGAGGGCTTATGGTGAGAAATACATAGATTATGGATTTTGTAAGGATAGGGATTAATTTCAATGTGGATTCCTTCGCGAACCAAAATTAGTTAGAGACCATTGAAAACCAGGGGGTACTGTACACCTGCTGTGGCTCAGTGGCTTTCAGTATTCCCCTAGCTGACATCGGTTCGTGAAGAAATCTATGTTGAAAGAAATAGGTGGTGTTGAATTTCGTTCCACAGTTAAAAGAGAAAACAGACAGACTACAGACCATCATAATATTACATAATAAGTTATCGTGGTAAGTATGCTGGAAATCGAGTACTGAAAAATCACTTATTTCTTCTACTTTCAAGAAGTGTATGGGGAAGAAAAATATAAGAAGACTGATATGCAGCCCACTTAGATTTTTTCTGTTTCAAATAAAAATACCATGGGTACACTAAGAATATCCAAGGTCAGCTGTCTATGTGAACATTCTAACCGTTACTAGTGTATCACCGTAGAACTAACAATTCAAGCAAGTTAACTGACCAAACTTTATGTTATTGTGGGCTTCGCTGAAAAACCATCATTCTAAATTTATAATAGAGTAGGGTTTAAGTGCAATTTTATTTTACCTCCAAGCGACCAGAAAACGGTATTCACCATTAGTACGACATCGAAGGTATAGTAATAACTAGGTAACGTCTATAAACAGTTATATCCGACAACTTTTATATCCCCTTGACTTTGTGTAAACCAGCTGAAAGACGCTTAGACCACCAACTAGCTTACACCAATCTGGACAAATTAAACCGAAGTAGAATGTCTATTATAATGCGATTGGATAACCTTGAAGCCTGGATTTATGAAATCGTTTGAATTAGTTATTTGTTGACTCATCAATACAGTTATGCCACAGTAGTTGATTAGTCGTCAGTATTCAGCAAGGGGGAACCCATGGAATCATTAACCATAATTTTCAGCAGAAGAAAAAGAAAGTGAATGCAGGCGATAAAAGTATGATCATCATAATTCGTAAGTGTATAAGTTTACTGACAGAAAATATAAATAAAACTTTCATAAAAACAAAAAGAAGAGTCAGTGAAATTATTTATATCACAGATAAATAAAAGAAAATTATTCAAAAATCACCAGATCATAAGAAGTTAACTTATAATAAATAAGTAAGATCAAGTATAATAAAAAATAAAACAAGACTGAAAGAATATAAAATATGAATAGAGGTGTATGTTGATGTCTTAAACAGTTGAGCAATTAGTTTAACATCTTGGCCAAGTTTTATAATTTATCGATATAACATCAAGTATGTAACTGGGATACGTTGTTGAAACATAATCGATCAGTGTAATATTAACACCGTTTACACCAGCTCGACGATCAGGATTATTTACCCAACCTTCAAAGTATTTTGCAGCAATTTTAGCTAAATGATGAACTGAAGAAAATGGATGGCGTAAAATGAATGCCACTGTCGGTGTGAGAACACCTTGATGTACATAGAAAGAATTGGCTGGTCGATATTGATGAGGTCTGTAAAGCAGAGGGATAACACAACACACTGGTGATGAATAATAATGTTTATGTATATATACATATACTCAGTTAGAGGACCACTAGAAACCATAAATCATTGAATAGTTGTTTCTTCCTAGTTGGGGATTCTTCAGCAGTGTGGACTCATATCAAATGGTATAATAAGGTGAGCAATATTGAGGTTAGGCGTAGTGTTAGATAAGAATGGCAAGTCAATTGATGAGGTTGTGAAGCTACATCGATTAAGATGGCTAGGAAAAATGTTACGCACGCTAAGCCATCAAATTCCATCATCGAGGAATGTTAGCTGGCAGATAACTAGGTTGTAAGAGAGTTAGCGATGCTCATACCAAAACAAGGTACCAGCTCATAAAGCCTTTGACCATCAGTTTGAGTCACGTAGGGAGGTGTACACTGTCTGGCTGGATGGACCATGGAGAAGCTAAAAAAACAATGGTTGGAAGCTGTTAGTGACATGGCACGAAATCCTCCTCATTTATACATATGTATTCACTTTTCACAATTTTTCAGAGGCATAAAAGGTATCGTGTTTTCTATGTTTCTGTTCTTTCTCCCGTATACTCCCTCTCATTTGATTGTATTAGAATTATTTCTCCTACTTTTGTTTCCTAAATGGGATGTGGAAACTTGAAATGCTGCACTTTAATACAAAGTTTTACGTTACAAACTCAGCCAGTCAGTCGGTCAACCACTCCCAGTTGTCTGACACTGCATAAATACAGAGTAATGTTAAAACTTTTACAGTGAGATGAAAAACATCCAGAAGAGAAATCATTACTGCAGTTTATAATTTATAGAACTTTTGTCTGTGTGTTCTGAGTCAACCGTGAAATCACCTGCAAGAAGAATTTGAGTAAATTCACAAGTACGCATTCGATGTAGTCAATTGAATATGGAAGTAATGCATAATACTGAAAAGTGCCAGTCAATGTATACAACGTAGGTTTTAACGCCAGCATAACTGTATGGCTTTTGGAGAAGTAATAATACTGCCAAATATGCCTTTTAGTGAAAAAAAACTGTTGCAATACTTTCATATAGACAGTAGGAATGCTTCAGTAAGTATTATTAAGTTAAGAGACCTATTTGGTTTTCATTGAGTTCTTTGTTTCCGTGTGACGTGTTATGACTATAGAACCTTACATCTTACGAATTACACGAACCAAGATAATATTTTTATTCATGTATGGTAGGGATATCAATCAATTTCAATTTAGGTTTCATCACGAATAGCCATGAATTAAAGAACCATTCAGAACAAAACAGCACTGACTGACTAGTTTCAACGTAGAACTTTGTACAGATGTACAGCAGTTCAAGTTGCCACACTCTATGCAGCACGCAAAGCAAGAGAAGATAGAAAAGACAGATAATAAATAGTGTAAGGGAGGAAGAATAGTAATATAGAAAAACAATAGTGAATACATCTGCACCATTGACAACAGCACCGGACAGCTGTTCCTCTTAGTCTGGAACGCACACCAGTGATCCTACTGGGAATTTAACCCAGAACCTTCAGGTTATGAAACTAACCCGTTGGCCAATGACCAATGGGTCACTGGGTTGGAATGTAGTGGTCTGTGAATCCTTAATTCTGTCAATTCTCGGTATAGCACCAACGGTTGACACTCAAAATGGTAGATTCCACAGGTCACTTATCTGACTTGAATTTCAGGAGAGCCATCTTATAGCGCCTAATGACCTAGAGATTCACATTCAGATTTTGGGTTATGCAGGGATTTCAACTGATATCACTGGAGAATTCGTTCAAGGGGTTAGTGTAAAACCATGCATCCATTTATAGTCTACGTTAACCTGTAGCATGAAAAGCTAATTGATATCTGTAAATGAAACACCCAAATTCATAGTTTCCTATCGATCGCCCATTAATATCTACACTACAATCTGATATGTTCGTGGTCATCAATATTAACACAACTTAATATTCTGGCAGTTTTATTGCCCCCCCCCCGTCTCTAAATTCATGAAGTTAGAAAAATACGTCTCAATCACTATCCACAAGTTCTTTTGATAATCGATAAGTTGTACCTAATACGCATTAGCCAACAGTGTTAATTGGTTCGTCAAACCACGGCACGTCAGATGAAGGTAAATCAGTATATTACTTTATGACCAACATAAAAAAATGGTAAATAATACTGGTTGTTATAAGAGGTTGGAAACCAGTAGCGTCAAGTAGTAGTGTTTGCCAGCCAGATCGAAGTGATCCAGACGGCCATTTTGTCAGTTTCGGACCCACCTTATTACTCATGTAACCGGATTAACTCAGATCAAGATCAGAAAATTAAATCAGTTGAGACCAACTGAATTCTAAATCAAATTTGCAATTCACGATTTACTCAGTTCAAGGTGAGATTTCGCCACAGCTTCATTTGAAAACCAAAATTATTAAAATCATAATATAGTAATGACAATCAAAAGAGAAAGCATAAGCTCATCATGGTTTATACTGCTAGTTGACTGAATATGATTAGTTTGATACCAATCACAATGAGAATTAATTTGTAAATTATGAATTTGATTCAATGTATTACCAGTCCGTCCAGAATTCTTGTGGTTTCAACTAATTCAGTTGACTGAGCTGAATCAAAACGAGAACACTGGTGATTACCTTGGTCCAAACGAGGGAAGCGGCTGTTCAGTGTTTAGATCTCTCCGATATGACTAACAAGCACTACTGGTCGATGTGAATGGTGTTCAACTATTCATGCCAATCAATCAGTAGTATATAGCGACTGAATTCTAGCTACGTTGCCAGACCGATGGACTAGTAATACAGGGAACTGAAATTGCAATTCGCAAAATACACACATTTCGATGTGAGAATTCTCTATAGTTTCCTTTGGAAACCAAAATGACTTATACCAATCAGTAGTATATACTTCCATGTTGTATTGCTTGTTGTTTTCCCTATCATATATGGTATGAAGCTGATCGTACATTGTGATCTGAATAATTTTTGTTTCCAAAGGAAACTTTAGTTAATTTTCACTTTGTAATACGTGATTTAAAAATAAAAAATTATCAGGCAGTGAAAAAGCCTTACCCAATATGTCTATTTAAAAAGCATATCATAGTCAGTGGGTCAATAGTTTCAGGCCAAAATGATTCAATGCAATTAGATGGCCAAAATTTGTAGTGCTTTATCTCATGATTCTTTCGATGAGAAGATATAAATATGATTTGCTGTTTAGCATTCCACATATCGTTTAAGGAGGGAATGTTTGGTTGGTAAGGAAACATACTGGTACCTATAGTCTGTAAGGGGAAAACGGGTAAAAAAAACACTTTAAGAAGAGTTATAAAGAAGCATTATGCTGAGAATTCAGATGTAAAGGCAGTCTACATACCAAGTCTTAGCCCATGACCCGTTTAAAGGAGTTTAAGAACACTATCCTGTATGGTTGTAGAAAGGTAGCAGCGGCTCCATAAGGTGTGCAATAAATGAACACTTCGCTGTCACTGGCTAATTTATGTTAAACAATCATCAACAAATAGATGTGGCCTTTTCCCCAAATCCATCCATTTTTACGGTGCTTATTTACGGCATTGTTGTAGATGATTTAACCGGTAGTATCTAATCATGCAAAATATTTTGTGATACGGCAACTGTGTAAGTAAAATTTCGTAGTCAATCAACTGTAGGGCTTCAGCCCAACCGTTTTGATCTGTTTAGTCCAGGTCATTAAATCAACAAGCAATACTGTTTGTGTGGACAATGTACGATCAAAGTTCAAACGGGGGAATTGGTTCTGTTTTACAACTAGATTGCACACATAGTCTTGGTGAAAAGAAAATCATGCGTGGATCAAATTGAAACGCTACGAATCATCATCGAACAGAGAATAAAATGGCAGTCAAATATCTCCTTACCTCAAATTCATCGACTTTGAAAAGGCCTCCAGTAGTGCTCACTGTGAAGTAATTCGTAAACCCCTTCAACACAAGAAGTATAGTATTAAAAACCTTTATGAATCTCGCTCAACAGCTGTATGACAATGCCACATGCCAACTGATTCACAACGGAAATCTCAAACAAGCCTTTGAAATAAAGACAGGGGTAAGATTAGGTTTCCTACTATCACCGATCATAATCCTGACTGCGGTGCACTGGACCATGCAAAAGGCCGTCGGGAGCAGGATGACAGGTGTATGTTGAACTCATAAGAAAACTCTAGAATGTCTGGGATTTGCGGATGACTTATGTTTAATGTCACACAAACTCGAGGACCTAAATATGAAAACAAACAAATTGGCAGCAGAAGCAGCGTTGATAGGACATCAAGTGAACTTAGATAATACAATGGTGATGAAAATAGTTAACCAACAACAAAAAACAGCAGTCACCGTCGACGGCAAAAATTTAGTGGAAATCAGCTCTCTCACTTAACTAGGCAGCATCGTTTCAACTACAGTCAGTAGGGATGGGGAAGTCAAAGACAACTAGAATCAAAAAAGCTAGACAGACCTTCGTTTCACTGAAATCAGAGTTGAGATCTCTCCTGTATTCAGCATGAGGAAAAATATTCGGATTTTCAAGATTAATGTCAAGTGAATGCTTCTATATGGTTGAGAATCAGCATGTCACAAAAGCATTTCCAACAATTATCAACAGCCACCTTCGCTCCTTACTGAAAATAAGATGGTGAGAAAGGTTTAGTACCACGGCACTTTTGGAACAAACCATCCAACAAGTATGTGGAGAAAAATGGAGATGGATTAGACACACAGTGAGGGGACCGCTGAGTGACACCGCGCGCCAGCCAGGAACTCTGGTGGAATCCGAATAGAAAACAGTGAGTTGATTGTCCAAGGGTGAAATGGAGTGGTTCGTGTGAGGAGGAAATGACAGATTATGAATAATCGTGAAGCCAGCTAAAAATAACTTCCGAAGACAGGATGAAATGGAGATATGTTGTTGAAGCCCTATGTTCCCTTTGGGAGCCAAAGGAACAATAATAATAAAAAGGTAGAATACGTTAAGATAGTAGTCATTACCTTTAGTACAAGTGATTCAAAGCAATTTTTCTGTTCATCTGTTTCAAAATAATAACAATGATTACAATCCACAATAACAATTTCCTTGGGATTGGACTGAAGAAAGTCCAGAATACTTTGAAGTTCTTTTGAAAGTAGATTGGCGTATTGTCCATGTACTAAGTAAAATTCATAATCAATACTATCACTCTGTTTTAACCTTCTTCTTTTTCCTTTTCTTTTGGAGCACACACGAAAATCAAAATATCGAATACCAGCTTTTAACTGGTCGGATAAACTTAATGACTGTGTCACACTCCATGGGTATAAGATTCGACTTAACAGTTTACGAGGAATATATTTGGCTAGATGATAGATAGGTCCCTCTGGTGAAGGTCGGCTACTTTGAGTAATGGAATATGTGAATGAATCATGGCTACCTAAAGATTTGGAATTAAAAAAGCAGTTTATTTACTACTACTAAAACAAAAATAAGTAGTTACTAAAATGAATCATGAAGTTAAAAGAGATATACATAAAAACAAGTGCGTCGGTGATTTAGTGGTAGCATATTTGTTGCCAGCAAAACCCATGATCCAGATGCGATTCCTAGCCGACGCACCTCCCAAACCTCATCTAGTTCCCTACTGGAGTTGGTATCAAGCCCGGAAGAGGTGAGATTGAGTGTGAGGCCAGTAACCCTAACCTATAGAATGCCACCTCTAATGAAAATTCAAAGCTTAAAGCTTGAAGCCCTATATTTCACTCAGAACGCAAAGAAATGAAAAGAATAGATACATAAAAATAAGCGAAACAAGAAAATGGTACAGACGAAATAACAGTCATCTTCATAACTGTGAACGCTGAACATTCCTCTACAACTAATTTACCCACAACCTTGATAGAATACCTTGTGTTTTAAATTAGCATTATTATTAAAAATACAAACTTGGTATACTACAGGCACCAAGAGATGGATCGCATAAAAATAACAAAACAACAACATATGAGGGTAATAGTAATGGAGTAAATGAAGGGTATTCAAAAAGCAAGTAAGCATACTTGTCAAGATCATTCATCATTGATTACTTCATGTTACCTTCAGAAAGGGAAGAGAGGAAAAGACAATATAGCATGTTCACCGTTTATTGAGACTCTTGGTCATATCTAATAGCGTCTCGAGTCACCGAATCAAATTATTCCTCGGATGCCACCCAGGGAATCGTGATATACTAACGGATACTAACTTACTTTACTTCGGCTATCTCCTACGGGAGGATGAGCCGGCTTCATTAACATCTCGAATCAAGAGAGTTCATGAAGTTTCATGGGAATTTGGTACGAGTGATGTCCCCAGAATCGCTCGGCCTTTTGTTTGAGAGTGCAGCTCTAGCCTTTACACAACCAAGTGTGACCTACAAGGCAGTTGGAGTGGAGTAGGGAGTCCACTATCCATTGGCAGCCGGTGACCGGAGTTCGGTTCATACGCCTTTTTGAATGGGGCCAGACATCCAGGACATCCAACAAGCCCTTTGTCCATACGTCTGCCGGTGAGCTCCAGTGAGCTTCATACGCCAGTCGTTGGAGGTTTGGAATCAGAATTTAGCCATCTCGGATACTAACCCTTCAGACACCCTTCATCCCACGCAACACATCATAAGCTGACCAACTCTCCGCATTTTCCATTTAGTCCTAGAACTAGCAAATAGCGAGGGGTATAAAAGCCTTTGGGATGGGATTTGTAGCGAACGGTTTTCAGCTCCTCCTGGTAAGCCTGCACTTCCACCGTTACGAATGTAAGCACCATATTCGATCTTTCACTTTTATGAAGGCAATGAATAGAGCCTACTTGGCAAAGACTATGAATGCGTGGCCACATGAAATCATTTTAAAAAGATCGAAATCTACACATCCTCGTCCGTACCAGGTTGTTTATTGTCCTAATTCAGAGAAAAAACCAGTCCGTTATTGATGGTTCCATCTCCTCCACAGTAAAACATTGAGTAACTGGACTTGAACTTCAGAAAATTTTCTTTTCTATACATGTGAAACGGTGATTATTATATTAAATGATTTTTCCTCACAACTTAATCTATGGTAAATTGCCTTTCCATAATAGTGTGAATCTGTAGCTAAAAGGTGCTGTTTGTAATAATGTATATTTGTCTGCGTTGGTGAATCAACATGAAAAATTAAAATGTTTCTTATGTGAATTAGAACAGATAAGAGTATTGGGAATTTCAGTGTACTTCAGTACCAATCGTAAATTCTAAGTGTTAGAATTTCAATAGCACTTTATCCAAAGATTGGGATCAGATTCACAGCTCATTGATCCATGCGATCGACTCCCAACCTATGGGTTACGGGGTTCGAAACGGTCTCCACCTACCGAGGTTTGTGCAGCCAGGTAGTACCATTAGCCCTTACAATAGGTGTGTTTCATTACCAGCTGCATTGAACTGTAATTAGTTTGAGAGGGATAAATGATTACTGTGAGATCGATATGCTTACTACGGTAAACCGTAGATATATGCGATCAAGTGTGTAAAGTAAATTGAGGGTTTCTACGCAGGCGGACCAAAAACTGCGATTGTCTTTAACAAATATGTTCAGAAAATTACCATCTTGCAGATTTCGGAAACCCTTACTAGTTTCCATCCGATTTTTTTTCGCCTGTACATTTTTTCTTTTATTTTGTGTGCTTTTCCAAAGTATGGCAGACTCAACTCATGAATTCTCGGTCAAAGTTCCATACTGACAAAGCAATGAACCATGAAGCTGCTATCAGATTGGTTAGGTGCTCCAAGACTATTGGTGAGATTATTAAATGAAATGGTTAGGACCCTTGCTACAAATATTAATCTACCGCCGAAACTAAAGTACCATATTTGTTGTAATAAATTCCGACTAAAAGTGGTGGGAACGGCCACTCCTGAATGTCATATCTGAAGCAGTTGGAATCGACATTTGGAGAACTTACGTCGAACTCTCACGCAAGTTAAGTATTCATTTAGAATACATTTTCAATGAAATAATACCAAATTGAAGATATATAAAAATTGTCAGATATCCTAGCTATCCTTAAAATACACAAAATTACTTTCAAGATGCATCGTAAGTAATATTGTCAAGAGTGATGAGGAAGCATAAACATCGATGGTCAACTAACCTGGAATAGATATCAAATTAAGGGGTTTTCGCGATATATGCGGGGGCAATTCAGACATCCACGAGGAAGGATAAGTCATTGTTTGCCTGCATTTAAGATAAAAGTACAACATAGCTTACAAGTGTCATTTTGAAGAAAGTAAGTTGAGATGTTATACATGCTGGCCACACACATAATAATGGTATTGTAGATGTTTATAGTCAAGAGAGTTAAGGCACTAGACTTGAAATAGACAATATTTAGTATCCAAAAGGAGGCTTAGATTCCAGCCTTTAGCTGAAACTTGAAATCAAGAAAATAGTACACAAGTTCCAATATATGCTAGCACAATGAATATTAGAACAAATTACGGGTTTAAAGGACTCAGTACCATACCATCAAAGAACAACTGCATTCCATAAAAACAATCTAAGTACAGCGAAAAGAAACGAAATCCTACGGGAAAAGTTAAAGAATAGCAGCAACAACCAAAGAACTAATTGATCTTTGGGCAACTCATCACATAATCAAGCAAAAGAGCCTTGTATGTATTGTATAGGAAATTTGGTTTGACTTTTCACCAGATTCCCCCAAGAGGAATCCAGTGTAAATGAAGGTAATCTAGAAGGTTCTTGGTAATGACTGCTATTTATATTGTATCATACAAATATAAAGTAGGCCTTTTATAGTAAAATCGACAGATAGAAATCTTTAGATTTGAATTCATATCTGCAGTCATGCTAATTTCCACACTAAAGAACTACAAAGATAAATGTACAACAAAATTACAGTGTCAATAATTACGCATAATTTCGACGACAATGATGTAGGACTCAACTGAAGGGAAATTGTTTTCAAAGAATGTTTAGAAGTAAAACTTCGTAAAAACCAAAAGGGTCTATCGAAAACCTTTGAAATGCAAAGAGTACTTTTGCAGTCTACAAACAATCAAAATAAATATTTGGATCGACATGTATATCCAAAAAATGTACTGGGAATTACTAAGACACAACCACCTCCAACACTTAAGTATCATACTGTGAACTGTATTGATGCTATTTAACCACATATCGTTGAACTAGATCAAAATGTCTACATAAGAGTTTATGAAGTCTGCAAACTGAATTAAAAAATAACGCCAATCTTTTGAGGGATATGTCAGAGAAATCACAGAGGGGCAGTGTGATAACACGAAGTCGGATCTACAGAAGATCCTGAAAGCGGTTAATAGTAGTGAACATCAGTTTCCGAACAATCCAAAAAATTTGTATTCATTCTTTTGAACATCCAACCGTCAACAATCCAACTAGAGACACTATCTGTAGGCCCCAAAATTCTGCATAAAATCCTCAGGTATCCAGAAACTTCACGTTCTGGTTCATGTAGAAAACTTGAAGAGCACCTACAACTATGTGAGTCGGCTGTCCTTGAGAAGTGCCACAAGTTTATAACGCCAAACCAAACGACCAGTCAATACTGACTAAAATACATTTTAAATAACATTAGGGGCTCATTATTATAAAAGCTTTGTATTTCCCAATTAATGAAAGACAAAACGATATTGTTTTTACTGACATTTCGCCACTCAATGCAAGTGGCTTTTTTAAAGTATTATTAAACTAGACTTTACAAGGTCTCAGCTGATATACAGCCACTAAATCATCCTTCTTCAGCATGAGGTAATTTTTACGTTGTCAAGTTGGTTAATTGCCTGATGCTGGAGACGGGTGATTAAGTCACTGTATATCAGCTGAGACTTTGTAAAGTCTAGTTTGATAATACTTTGAAAAAGCCACTAGCACTGAGTCGCGAAACGTCAGTAAAAACAAAATTGTTTTGTTTTTCATTCATTGGGAAATAGAAATGCTTTTATAATAAGGAATGTCACATACTCGATACTCAATTTTTTTAAACTATCAGAACTTGGTTTGGACATATAGAAGTTAACGAACAATATAGATTGTTGATATTCCCTGGTAAAAGTGTGAGAATTGTACTGATTAATCGACAGGGCGTCAATGAAATTTTAACTACTCTGCCTGGTGAGTTCAAATTTACGAAACTCACCAATGGAAAGAGGTATGACAGAGAGAACTGAACAAAAATTAACGAATATTCTCCAGGAACTGAAGACTAAGTCATCCGCTGACGCCGAAATGTTTGCTTCAAACATGACGACAGTACAAAAGGAATGCGCACCTCTTCGTCCTATCCTATTGAAAACATCAGCCGTTCGAATCAAAACATGCCCTCGCTACATGTGATTCATTATTTAAAAACATCCCATTAACTGAAACAATATGCTACATATGTGAACATATTCCAAGGGATTAAGCATCATCATCTTAAAAAGCTTTGGTTGAAGTGCAGATTATATCCAATTCTCTTACAATGATGGAGCAATTAGACAAAATGATAGTGTTGTCATGCACTAACTACCAGCCCCTTTGCTTGCACAATTCAGGCAGAAACTCAGAAACATATTTAAAGAGAACGACCGACAACTCTGTGTTTAACAAGACACATGGACGATACTTTTGTTATCTCCAATGATTAGGGGAATCCAGAAGATATTCTAGATTTTCTCAATAGCTGCCACCGTGAAGTCTAATTCATATCACAAGAGTTTGATTCAAAAGTTCCTTTCTGTTTTCAACCCACAAGAACATTAACAAGATAAATCCACATAGCGCTGATATGGAAGGGACAACTTACTAACTCCTTCAGTTTGTGCCTCTTTATCACAAAACTGGATCTAATCCGGTCAATTAGTTACAGAATCCACGATATTTGCAGCCCATACACTATTTGAGAGGAGCTGAGCTTCGGCTTACTCTGCAAAATCAATGTTTCGAATGAATGTGAAGGACAAACTGCCACTGATGGCCTTATCAGTATGTATCTATCACTTCACCTGCTTCTGTGGAGCTGGGTGTGCCGGGTATACTCAGCATATGCTATCAAAACTATTTGTCGAACACATATCCTTATAGTTTTACAGAGAGAGTAAGATATCGGAACAGTTCTATTCTGGAACACCTGGTCGATTGTGAACACCGAGCGAACTATTAAACCAACTTCAGCGTCGTCCACAGAGTACTTTTAAATCTTGGAAAAGAAGTATAAATCAAATTTCTTCATACTGCAGAAGCTATTGCAATACATATGCCAAACACAGAATCTTGCACACAGACGATTGTCCACTCATGGGACCTAAAAATGATCTAATTTGTCTGATCATGTGATGAGTTCTTTTTTGGAAAAGCCTTAGTCTTGTTATTCTTTTTTTTCTTTGTCCATCGCTACAAGCCTACTCCATATGACATTCAATTGCAACGTTATGATTGTATAGCTTGTGCGTCGGTGGCACAACGATGGAATGATCACCGACCACGCATATGGTCCGCGGTTTGATCCCCGTCCGACGCACTGTTTTACCTCGCAAAGCCAGTGGTAAGACAGGTAAAGAGGGGAGGTTAGGTATGAGTCTAGGAAACCCATCCCGTAAATGTAAACATCATTGCTACCGAAACTTCAAGTCTCTAGCTTGAAGCCCTATGTTCCACTAGGGATGCAAAGGATTATCAAAAGGACAGCATGGCCTGGGAATAATATCTCTGACAATTTTAACTCTCCGCAAAACGCCTCCTTCTTATATGACGAGGATATTTCAGGTAAAATGAGAATGCGACAATAAAATGTCACGTAGCCACGCCAAACATTTACCTAAGTTTAAATAATGTGTAGCCAATAACCGTTCATGCAAGTGCCCCTTTTATTCTGCAATGTACCCTAAGACTGCCCCAAATATTCTGTATTGCGCCCAAAATCGTTGCTAGCTGTTGTATGTCCAAATGAGCATTAGCATATTCACATTTATATGGATATTATAACTATACGTTATGTATATCACAGCTTGCAGCCAATTAAGGGACATTTATCGGAACATTTCAGAAAAAGGTCACTTTAAAGAAAAAACTTTTGTATGTGAGAGCCATGAAATTTCACGAATTAAAAGTGACACTTAACATTTTTCACGTACCTAAATACTTCACAGTATTAGCATGAATTTTCCGAGAGAGATTATGCTAAAATCGCCTCGGAGAGATCAATGCAACCCAAGGTCATGTTACACATTCATATCTGATACATCTTTGGCCGACCTTGACTCCGATATTTCAAATTCCAGTTTTATATTTTAGATTTATTAGTTGGGGATAGAAGGCTTGGAGCCTTGGTTAATCCTTTTCTAGTGAATTTATGTGGTTGTCCAAACCCTTCTTGAATCAATCAGTTGAGGTTGCAGACACCGCTTCTTCTGGGAGTCGGTTCCCAGAGTTTATGACTAGGTTTGAGAACCAGTACTCAGCAGCAATATGATTTCCTCCTAGCTTTTGAACTTCGTATGGAGGAAAAGAGAGAATAGGTCAGGTTCGTAGTCATTATTTAAAATTTAAGACATTGTGATTAAATCTCCTCTCTGCCTACGGTATAATAGGAAGAATAGATTTAAACTGTCTAATCTTTCCTCTTATGATAAGTTAGTCATGCCTGGAATCATTCGTGTTTCCTCCTTTCAACCCTTTCTAGAATATGACTCCTCTTTTAGACAAGGACTGGCTGCCTGGATACAGTTTTCCAGTCTTCACCTCACCAGAGAGGAATATAAGGAGCTGAATATATCTGGTGATTCTAGTAAAAGCTCTACAAATTGCCCATAAGGATCTAAAACTACGTGCAGCCACCACGCGATAGCTCCTTGAGAAGCTTTGGATGAAGACTATCAGGACCCATTGATTTCCATGCATCTAGTTTCACTAGGCAGTTGAGCACGATGCCTTGCTCTATGTCAACGGAATCTGTCCCGTGTTCCTCTGATGCAACCAGAGCTGATCCTATAGGGAGTGATGACTCCTGTGTAAAGACTTGGGAGAAGTAGTCTGCCATTGTTTCTGCTTTTTCTTGATCTTCTTTGATTGTATCGTTGTCAGTAGTCAGGTTTGGGACACCATTGGATGTTTTATTCCTGAAGTTCATGTACGAGAAAATTTTCTTAGGTTGTGCCTCTGCATTTTGAGCCAGATGTGCTACGAACTTCACCATTGATTGGCGGATTTCTACAATAGCTTTATTCCTAGCAGTG